AGGCGCGTCAGGAGGAAAACCAAGGAAGACGCAGGGAATGGCACGAGCAGAGAGCTTGTCCGCGGTGAGATCGCGGACAAAGGCACGAGCACCCCAGACCCGGAAACGCGACGCATCGCCAACCTCCCCCGTCCACAGCAGTGTGGGCGAGGTCTCCGGCAAGGAGACACGGGGCCAGAGGTTGAGTTGATGCGCGGCGTACCGGACCGCGAACGGCCACAGAAAATGGGGAGCCGCCGCATGGATCATGGAGGTACGAGCGACCTCCATGACTAAGCCAATGCGGCGCTCAGCAACCCCATTCTGCTGCGGAGAGGCCGGAAGCGTGAACGACTGGGTGATGCCGTGCTCCGCACAGAAGGCTGCCAAGAGGTCAGAGGAGAACTCACCACCTCTGTCAGAGTGCAGACGCAGGACAGGAAAGTCCCGCTCGAACCGCTCGCGGAGCTGGAGACGCACAGCGCGGATCCAGGGGATCAAAACAGCAGAGACGTCTCCCTTGCTGTGCAAGGGGAAGACCGTGGTGTAACGCGTGAAGTCGTCGACAACCAGCAGAAAGTACCGCTCACGGCCCTGTCCCTGGACGCGGGCTGGGCCCCACACGTCCAGGTGAAGCGTCTGCAGGGGAGCCTCTGTGGGAGGAAACGAGGAGGAGTGAGGAGCGGCGCGCTGCCGCCCCTCGACGCAGGGAATGCAGGGCGGCGCAGGCGAGGGAGGGAGGGCAGGCAGAGACCTGGGAAGCCCAGAGACCAGAGAGCGAGAGTGCATGCTACGAAGGCGAGGCAGGGAGGGGTGACCAAGGCGGTGGTGCCACAGGAGCGTGTCGTGCGACAGGCGGCGGCACTCACACTGGGTAGCTACCTGAGCAGACGCGTACAGCTGTGGAGACAAAGGAGCGGAGCGTGAAACAGTGGTGAGGGTGTACAGACTGGACCCCGGCTCACGAGTGAACGTGGCCAGGTGGCGGCCAGTCTTGGAGCACGTACAGATCGCCACACGCTGCCCTCCAGGAGTCCAGGTGTCAACCCAGTGATCCTGGAGGACGGCGTTGCTCACCAGGTTCGTAGAGAACGAGGGAACGAGGAGACCTGACAGCTCACCAGACGGGACCGCCGGGCACGGGAGCACAGTCGTGCCGCGTGCAAGCACTGGGCCCCCAGAGGGGTCAGCCAGGGAGACAGGGACAGGTGCAGGGAGCGGAGTGACGGTGGTGCTATCACGAAAGAAACAGCGGGAAGCACCAGAGTCAAGTGTAAACGTGTGCAAGGCCTGAGCCGACTCAGTACCAAGGGGAGCAGACTCACTAGCACCTAGGGCTGCAGTCCTTATACCGGGGTCAGGCGGCACACACAAGTAGCAGTCACCCTCAGCACTAATAGTCAATGCATACATGGCAGCAAGAATAACATCATAGTCCAGATCAAAGATAGGCACATCACGCCTAAGCAGCTCTGCCCAGTTGGGGAACTCAGTAGCATCAGGATACTTAGTACGCCAGGCGTCACTAAGCCTAGCAAAACAACGATACTCAGTGTGAAAACCGTTGCAGGGGCGACCCTTGCGGGGGCCAGTACGAATGACATAGGGGCAGCGGTCAGAACCCCGAGACGCCCCACGCCCAGCATACCAGTCATTGAGCTGCTGGGAGGTGAGGGGAGGAAGCTGCTGCTGCTGCTGTGGCTGTTGCTGCTGCTGCTGCTGCTGGCCACCCTTCTGGCCAGATCCACCCCCACTCCCACCTCCACCGCCACTGCCGCTGCCTCCTCCCCCACCACCGCCGCCGCCGCCTCCACCGCTCCCGGTCCTGCCGCCACCCCACCCACCGCCTCCACCCCCACGGCCACCCCCACCACCTCCACCACCCCCGCCGCCTCCACCACCGCTCCCTCCACCGCCACCTCCGCCACCCCTGCCACCCTTGCCGCCCCTGCCACCACCACGCTTCCCACCAGGAGCGGAAGCCGCTGCGACCTTCTCCGCACCGAGGAAGTCAACAGCAGTAGCAGCAGAGGCGTAGGAGGGGTCAAGAGGGGAGGGGGAGCACCCCTCAAAGAGGGGAGTGCGGGGAGTGCCACGAGCAGCACCGACAGCGAGGATGTTCTTCTCTGCTGCGACCAGCTGCTGCTCGAAGTCGTCCAGAGTGATAGTTGGAGGATCCTTGGCAAGGAAGTAATCCCTGACAGAGCGAAGAGTGTCAGGGAGGCGGGTGACGAGGATGTAGAGGGTGAAGTACAGCGGGGGGGTGTTCGTGGCGAGGAACTCTTTGGTAAGAGCGGCTCGAAAGCGGGCGTCACTAGCGCGGAGGTGAGTGATAAGGTCGGCAGCAGTGTGAAACGAGGCTAAGTCTGGGAACAGGTAAGGCAGGATGAGACTACCAACGGTGGCTGTGGTCGGGGCGGAATAGCGGGCAACGACAGCATCATACAGCGTCTTAGCAGTCTTAAGCTGGTTGAAATGCGCGCGCTCAGAGATCGGTAGGTGATTGCGAATAACAAGGCGCGCGACAGCATCGCGGAGCTCCCACTGTGCTCGTTCAGGGGCAGGAGCAGTCTCAGCAGGAGTAGGGACAGTGCCGGTCACATAGGCTAGCAGGGACACTCCGTCTGCGACGTCAGTCATAAGGTAAAGGCGCAGGTCACTAAGCCAGGTGTCAAACTCGATGGGGCGGCCGTCAGGCTCAAAGGCGAGAACAGTAAGGGTCGCCATGGTTGTAGCGCAGGCAAAAGTAGCAGGCTCAGGCAGCAGGCTCAGGCAGCAGGCTCAGGTAGCAGGCTCAGGCAGCAGGCTCAGGCAGCAGGCTCAGGCAGCAGGCTCAGGCAGCAGGCTCAGGCAGCAGGCTCAGGCAGCAGGCTCAGGCAGCAGGCAAAGACTGCAGGTTCAGGCAGCAGGCTCAGGCAGCAGGCAACTGTAGCAGGTAAGGAAGCACGCAGTTTTGTGACAGGCCGCGCGTAAGGCAGGTAAGCGCACGACTCACGGGCGGCTAAGCGCTCAGGTCGAGGCAGTGGCGCACAGGCAGGGCAGGGCACGCGCTGCTGCGGGCTGCGCGCGGCAGCGGGCTGCGCGCGGCTGCGGGCTGTGCGTGGCAGCTGGCTGTGCGCGGCGACGGGCTGCGTGCGGCTGCGGGCTGCGCGCGGCGACGGGCTGCGTGCGGCTGCGGGCTGCGCGCGGCGACGGGCTGCGCGTGGCTGCGGGCTGCGCGTGGCTACTGGCTGCACGCGGCGGCGGGTCGCACGTGGCGGCGGGCTGCGCGCGGTGACGAGCTGCGCGCGACAGCAGCGAGCACGCGGGCGGCTAAGGCAGCGGGGCGCGCTAAAAAAAAATGCACGCGCGCATGCAGCCGAGGCGCGCGCGGGCAGCAGGCAAGGTAGGTATAGCTGTAGGGAAAGTAACTCATGAGTAGGTGGGCCCCAATCTTAGGTCCTTAGGACCATTGCTCTAGATGCCATGTTGAGATAGCTAGGCAAGGTGAGTTGACTATCGAGAGAAATTTTACAAGTAGGAAAACCCTAAGGGGTTATCCCCTATAACATCTACCCCACTACAGCCTACCAATATGTATCACATATATATATCATTTGACACCCCATATAGCATGACCCACTATAGGCTATTACATTTGACATCTAGATCTAAGCCTGTTACCAGGTCTAAATTGACGCGAAACCCCTTTCCCCCGAATTTGCGACAGCAAGGTGAGTTCGCCCAAGGGAGATGCGGCGAATTAGGAACTATTCGCTTCCTGTTCTATCTGTTTCAGGGATGTGAAAGCTGTGGCCCAGTTTGGCAGGCATTATGGCCATTGTGGCCATAATGGGCATTTTTAATGGGCCCCCAAAAAATGCCGCCTGGGCATTTCACGAAACAGCTTCGAAGTCGAATCGTAGCTGCAGAGCACATTCGGAAAAAAAGGGGTTGAGTGTTTGGTTGGCATTATTTGGGTGTAGATTGGTGGCATCAATCGACATTTAGGGTTTCGCAGAAGATGGGAGGCAGTTGCTATGATCGATCGCGTGATCATGTGATTGGCTGGCATATTTGACCAGTCACTTTTAATTGCCCCGAATCACTGATACCCCTCATGGTGCGGGGCCTCGAGTCCGCATGGTGCGGGGGATCGGAAAATGGGCCTTTTGCCAGAGAAAATGGGTTGGGTGTAGATTCCGGCAGTTTGAAAACGCCTCCAAAAAAAGGGGTGTTTGGTTGGCATTCCATTATTGTTAGGTTCGGCGTAGTCCGCTTATATCGAGCCTTGATAGCCTTTCACACGCTTATCAGGGAAGGTTCCAGGGTGGTCGGTTCACTGTAGCCCATCCCCCTCGCCCCCTTTTTTGATGCCTGCCAAACCCGGCCTGTATCTCTCGCTGTCTGTCCAGTACGTATCCCAAGGACAACAGCGCGTCAGTAATTTTTGTACAGCGTGGCCCCGTGTCCAGACGAAACGATTGGCGAGTGGCGAAATGCTAATTTGTGGTTACTTTTTACCGAATGAAATGTAATTGTACTTTCGGGACCCGCCCTAACAGCAGCAGTTCGTATTCAAAAACCATTTTGGTTCAGTCTGTTCGAGCAACTCGCAACGTTTCAATGTTTCAGCCACAGTGAACTAAAGAGTGCAACACCGCATTGCATTCGGTATTCCGGCCAAAGGCCTTCCACCACTACCAATAGCCCAACCAGCCCACGCCGAGCTTCTTAGCAGAAAAAGCTACACTTCTGCTCACTTTTGAGGTGCCTCAATAGTCACTCCTGCTCAGTTTCTAAGCTCCTCCGCAGAAGCTACACTCCTCCCCACACTCAGACTTGTTGTGGACGACTGGAGACCAAAGTGCGACAGCGGCAAGAACATAAGGACCACCTCCCGCACACAGGAAATGCCACAGCAAGTGCGCGTGGAGTGGAGGCTGCATGCAGTAGCTGCTGGCTCCGATAGACGACCCGAGACAGTTGCCGTTTTCTCCCCCATAACATGCCCTCACAAGCGCAGGAATCCAATCAATCTCTCACACCTTCTTCACAATCTGCACCACATCCTCATCCTCCAATTCATGCTCCTGCGGTATGGGGGTGGGGGAAGAGAAGATGGAGAGCATGTTGCAGTTAGCACAAGAGCCGGCATCAGGTCATTGTCCCACATCTTCTGCACAATCTGTACCACATCCTCGTCCTCTAGCTCGTGATGCTGTTGTATGGGAGGTTGGGGGGCGAGTGAGGACGAGGGGTAGGAAGGGGCATCTTAAAGGTTGGTACAAAAGCCAACACCACAGGTCCATCTCTCATACCTTCTTCACAACCTGCACCAGCACTAGCCAAACGATCTAGCACACAAGCAAGACACATGAGGAATAGAAACCTCGCAGTGAGCCGGCACTCACCTTGCATTCTTGTAAGTCGACTCAAAACATAGCACTCACCTTGCCTACTCGTTGTGGCTTGTGCTTGGCACTGGAACCCCACACAAGAGCACTGGTGGGTAGGCAGGGACACAAATCAGAAGCGGGAAGGGGGGGGTTGGGGGAGAAAGACAGGAGGAAGAAGCAAAAAGTGAGTTATTTACTGATTGACACTGGACCCACGAAACAAGAGCATTGGTGGGTATGTGCAGGGACACATTTGTCCGACTCACTTTTTGAGCTGCCCGGCTCAGTATTTGAAATGCTTCAGTCTGCCCAACTTGCTAGATCACACTGCCTGGCTCTGGATCTCAAGCTGCCCAACTCGGTATTTCAGGCTGCCCGACTCACTATTTGAGCTGCCTGACCCACTATTTAAGCTGCCCAACTCACTTTCTGAATTGCCCAACTCACTATTTAAACTGCCCAGCTCACTACTCAAACTGCCCGACGCAATATCATACTCCAGCCTGCCCGACTCACTATTTGAACTGCCCGACTCACTATTTTAGCTGCCCGATTCACTATTTGAGCTGCCCGACTCACTATTTGAACTGCCCAGCTCACTATTCAAACTGCCCGACACAATATCATACTCCAGCCTGCCCGACTCACTATTTGAGCTGCCCGACTCACTATTTTAGCTGCCCGGCTCACTATTTGAACTGCTTGGACATGTCCTTGTGGATGCGGTTGCAGAAATCATCCACCGTCCGCGTCTTGCCCGACAGAATCACCGGATCCTCGTAGTCCGGATTCGCCCCCCGCGGCTTCGTGTACACCCGCACGAGGTCAAGGTACTCCCAGATCTTCTCCAATAAGCCATCCAGGTTCCACTCCAAGTGGGCACTGCATGGATGTTGGTTCGCCAACACATAAGAAAAGAGGAGAGGAAAGTGGTGAGAGCATGTGGCAGAATCATGTCTCAAAACTAAACAGAATCACCCGATCCTCGTAGTCCGGATTCGGCCCCCGCGGATTGGTGAGACCCGCACGAGGTCAAGATACTCCCAGATCTTCTCCAATAAGCCATCCAAGTTCCACTCCAAGTGGGCACTGCATGGATGTTGGTTCGCCAACACATAAGAAAAGAGGAGAGGAAAGTGGTGAGAGCATGTGGCAGAATCATGTCTCAAAACTAAACAGAATCACCCGATCCTCGTAGTCCGGATTCGGCCCCCGCGGATTGGTGAGACCCGCACGAGGTCAAGATACTCCCAGATCTTCTCCAATAAGCCATCCAGGTTCCACTCCAAGTGGGCACTGCATGGATGTTGGTTCGCCAACACATAAGAAAAGAGGAGAGGAAAGTGGTGAGAGCATGTGGCAGAATCATGTCTCAAAACTAAACAGAATCACCCGATCCTCGTAGTCCGGATTCGGCCCCCGCGGATTGGTGAGACCCGCACGAGGTCAAGATACTCCCAGATCTTCTCCAATAAGCCATCCAGGTTCCACTCCAAGTGGGCATTGCATGGATGTTGGTTCGCCAACACATAAGAAAAGAGGAGAGGAAAGTGGTGAGAGCATGTGGCAGAATCATGTCTCAAAAATAAACAGAATCACCCGATCCTCGTAGTCCGGATTCGGCCCCCGCGGATTGGTGAGACCCGCACGAGGTCAAGATACTCCCAGATCTTCTCCAATAAGCCATCCAGGTTCCACTCCAAGTGGGCACTGCATGGATGTTGGTTCGCCAACACATAAGAAAAGAGGAGAGGAAAGTGGTGAGAGCATGTGGCAGAATCATGTCTCAAAACTAAACAGAATCACCCGATCCTCGTAGTCCGGATTCGGCCCCCGCGGATTGGTGAGACCCGCACGAGGTCAAGGTACTCCCAGATCTTCTCCAATAAGCCATCCAGGTTCCACTCCAAGAGGGCACTGAGAGAGCACGCAGGGAAGAAGAAAAGGTACATGCACACGGTTTGATTGCTTTGACTTTGCTCCTCTGGGCTTGGTGTAAACTCGCACGAGATCAAGGTACTCCCAGATCTTCTCCAGCAATCCATCTAAATTCCACTCCAAATGCGCACTGCATGGATGTAAGTTCAGCGAGCCACAGAGAAGGGAGGAAACCAGTGGTGAGATGAGAGCACGTGGCAGAATCACCGGATCCTCGTAGTCCGGATTCGCTCCCTGTGGCTTGGTGTACACGCGCACAAGATCAAGGTACTCCCAGATTCTCTCCAATAAGCCATCCAGGTTCCACTCAAGATGAGCACTGCATGGATGTTGGTTCACCGGGCCACAGAGAAGGGGGGAGGAAACCAGTGGTGAGAGCATATGGCAGAAATCACCAGATCCTCGTAGTCGGGATTCGCCCCCCGTGGCTTGGTTTACACTCGCACGAGATCCACGTACTCCCAAATAGTCTCCAGCAATCCGCCTAGATTCCACTCCAAGTGAGAGCTGCATTTCAAATGTGTTCACCAAACCACAAAGAAGGGAGGAAACCAGTGGTGAGATGAGAGCGCGTGGCAGCATCACCGGATCCTCGTAGTCGGGATTCGCCCCCCGTGGCTTGGTGTACACTCGCACGAGATCCACGTACTCCCAGATCTTCTCCAACAACTCGTCCAGATTCCACTCCAGATGAGCACTGCATGGCAAGTGAGTGGACAGACCACAGAGAAGGGAGGAGGCACGTGGTGAGCATGTGAGAGAGGGTCCGGATCCTCGTAGTCCGAATTCGCTACCCATGGTTTGGTGTACACCTGCGTGAGGTCAAGGTACTCCCAGACCTTCTCCAGTAGCCCGTCCAGGTTCCACTCCAAATGCGCGCTGCATTCCAAGTGAGTTCACCAAACAACAGACCACAGAGAAAAGGGAGGAGGCAAGTCGTGAGCATGTGGCAGAATCACCGGATCCTCGTAGTCGGGATTCGCCCCCCGTGGCTTGGTGTACACCTGCGTGAGGTCAAGGTACTCCCAGACCTTCTCCAGTAGCCTATCTGAGTTCCACTCCAAATGAGTGCTGCAGGAGAACAAGGGAAGGCACATGCACACGCTTCAATTGCGTAGATTCAACCCAACCCCCCCCCACTCCCTCCTCCCCCCGTGGCTTGGTGTACACCTGCGCGAGATCAAGGTACTTGTCCGGATTCCATGCGACTGTCCTCGATAGGCTGCTCTCTGACCCCCACATACAGCAATGGTGGTAACAGTACCTGACAGGGCAGTAGCGCGGCAGCTTATCTAACACCTCCAGCTCCTCAAACGTAATCTGGTCGACCTTATTCACGGCGTACACACACGGGACGGCTCCTGGCTGCCTCTCACGCCCCCTTATTATACCCTCTATAAACTGATGAGAACCTGCTGCTTCCATACCCTCCTCACCTGACAGGGCAGTAGTGCGGCAGCTTGTCTAGCACTTCAAGTTCCTCCAGGGTAATTTGATCCACCTTATTGACGGCATACACACACGGGATGTACACGCGGCTGCCTTCAATCACGTCAATCAGATCGTCCACCGTGGCGTCGTATCGTAGGTGCACGTCCGCGTTGTGAATGCGGTACTCTCTGAGTCGGAACACACGGCCTCATACCCCCTATAAGCTGCTCTTTCACCCTCTAGCAGTGGTAGTACCTGACAGGGCAGTAGTGCGGCAGCTTGTCTAACACTTCGAGCTCCTCCAGCGTGATTTGATCCACCTTGTTGACGGCGTACACGCACGGGATGTACACGCGGCTGCCTTCAATCACGTCGATCAGATCGTCCACCGTGGCGTCGTATCGCAGGTGCACGTCCGCGTTGTGGATGCGGTACTCAGAGAACACGCCTACCTGCTTGCTGGCCTGCACACACACACACACACACTCTCTCTCTTGCTCTCCCTCACCTGACAGGGCAGTAGTGCGGCAGCTTGTCTAACACCTCCAGCTCCTCCAGAGTGATTTGGTCCACTTTATTCACGGCATAAACACAGGGAATGTACACGCGGCTGCCCTCAATCACATCAATCAGATCGTCCACCGTGGCGTCGTATCGCAGGTGCACGTCCGCGTTGTGGATGCGGTACTCAGAGCACACTGCCTTCACCGTGTCGAGGTCCAGGTTGGTGACGGTGCAGGCCGCTGTGATGCTGATGCCGCCTTTGTCCTTTCTTCTAAACGTCAGGTTCGGTGGCTCTTTGTTCAGCCTGCCAAGGGTAGAAAGGGAGGGTGAAGGGGAGGGAGAAGGGGAGACAGAACGGAACGGAGAAGGGCACGGAGACAGGGAGGGAGAACGGGAGGGAAAAAGGGAGGTTGAGGGTGTTGTGTTGTGAATGCGGTACTCGGAGCACACTGCCTTCACCGTGTCCAGGTCTAGGTTGGTGACGGTGCAGGCTGCTGTGATGCTGAAGCCGTCCTTGTCCTTTCTTTGGCCTGAACGTTACGTTAGGTCTGGCAGCTCCTTTATCAGCCTAGGTAAAGGAGGGGGTGGAGGGGGGGACATGTGGGGAGGAGGACGGAGATGGGGGGCTCATTTTCCATAAGGAATTTTTTCCTTTTTGGCATGAGCCGCTTGTGTGAGATGGGCTAGATGGCAACCAAAATTTCCAGGAGAATGAAAAAACTCACACCTTCTAGACCGAACATCAACAACACACACAGTGCATGCAACCCACCTGATGCCAAACCCTTCGAGCTCCTTCTCGATCAATCTCTTGCGCGCGATGGGCTGATTGATGGCGTCCAACAGGATCACGATGCTGGCTCAACCGAACCTGACTTTACCAGCGTTGGCTCGCACAGCGTCACTCCGCAACACACCACACCACACCACACCACACCACACCACACCATACCAAAGCACAACGCAACCCACCTGATGCCAAACCCTTCTCGATCAGTCTCTTATATGTGATGGGCTTGTCTGCTCTCCAGATCCTTCTCCAACATGAACCGGCGTGTTGTTCTGATCAGGTGAGCCGTCAACAGGAGGGGCGACATTTGCGGTGGTCTTCGTCGAGCGAACCTTATGAGGCATGGTGCGATGATGGCACACCGATAGCAGCGACAAGGATAAGTAACTCTGATTAAGCTTCCGCTGCTTGTGGACTGAGCACCTCCTCATTAAAAACCTTTTCTCTAGCCATCGACTTGCATTCCTGGTTAAAGTTATGTGTTCTTGAGGTGGAAGTCTTGGGATCTTGGTTAGGTAGTTGGTGATTGTAGATATTGTGCCAGCTTAGTCCGATGTAATCCTACGGATAACTTGTGGTACTGAACTGAACCTGCCTGTAGTATTGTTTATCGGCTCTCGCACCACACACGACGCAACCCACCTGATGCCGAACCCTTCGAGTTCCTTCTCAATGAGTCGCTTGTGTGTGATGGGCTTGATGGCATCTAGAACGATCACGATGCAGTTGCACGTGCGAGCGGTCGAGATGACCTGATGGGATGACAACAGAGAGGAGGGGGGAGTGGAGAGGGGGAAGGGGGGCAGGGGAAGAGGAGGGGGGTGTGGGGCGGGGTTGAAGAGGGTGGGTGGAACGGGAGGGGGGTGGTGTGAGGGATGTCAAGCTCCCCTCCCAAGCTCCGGCATTCATTCAGTCTCTTGTGTGTGATGGGCTTAATGGCATGGAACACGATCACGATGCAGTTGCACGTGCGGGCCGTTGAGATGACCTAGTGGAGTGGGGTAACCAGACGATTCCTTCCCTCCCTCCCTCCCTCCCCTATCTCTCCTCCCTCCCTCCCTCCCTCCCTAACACCCCCTCTCACCTGCCTGCCTCGCCCCGGGTAAATCCCTCCCTTACTAACACACTCTCTCACCTGCCTGCCTCGCCCTTTGCCGTCCTTGGCTCCCTCAATAATCCCGGGTAAATCCAGAAGCTGCCAGCCAGTAGCGACACATGCCACACACGCACGCACGCACGCACGCACGCACGCACGCACGCACGCACGCACGCACGCACGCACGCACGCACGCACGCACGCACGCACGCACGCACGCACACACACACACACACACACACACACACACACACACACACGCGCGCGCGACAAAAAAAGGGTGGAAGCAAGCAGCATGATGGAGACAGAGAAAGAGATGTAAGGGGGCTGAAATCAGTAGTGCGGGAACAGCTAGTTCCAATCCAGCAGCGCATGGCAATTGTGAGATTAAATAGCACTCTCAATAGCCCTTGCCAAAGCACTCCAGTTTTGAGGCACGTCAAAGCATGATGAAGACAGTGGAGGAAACGCAAGGGGCTGAAAATCAGCTTTTAAGTCGACCTAAAAACAGCTAGTCCAATCCAACAGCGCACGGCTATTCTTGTGAGATTGGATAGCACTTTGAGTAGCCCTTGCCCCTGCGCTGCACTGCACTCCATCACGAGCGCACCTGGATCTTGGCTCCTCGGTAGCGAATGACACCCGGGATGGAATGCACGTGCGCGGGTGTTGTGAACTGGAAATGCACACTACTGAACTAATTAGTCTCCCCTGCACTGCACTACATGGTACGTCACTGCACTGTACTGTACCGCACTGCACTGCACTGCACTGCACTGCACCCACCTGGATCTTGGCTCCTCTGTACCGAATGACACCCGGGATGCACGTGAGCGTTGTGAACTCGTATGATGCGACCTGCACGCAGGGTGGGGGGTAAGGCGAGGTGAGGTGAGGGGAGGTGAGGATCGAGGGGTTGACGCAGACTGAGGAGGTTCAATAGCCACAGAGGGGGATGCACGTGAGCGTTGTGAACTCGTCGTACGATGCCACCTGCACGCAGGGGGGTAAGGCGAGGCGAGGGGAGGGGAGGACCGAGGGGTTGACGCAGAATGAGGAAGTTCAATCAACAGACACAGAAGGGGGATGCACGTGAGTGTTGTGAACTCTCGTATGATATGATGCCACCTGCAGGGAGAAGGTACCGGCGCAACGGGAGGCACAACCAAGAAACGACTTTTGAGTCATTTGACAAAGTTAATAGCCACAAAGGATGAATGTCAAAGGCCTCCCCTGATCCTTCTCCGCTCACCAGCCTACCTCAGAGAATGTGCCTGTCAGCTTGTTAAAAAGCGTCGACTTCCCCACGGACGGGAAACCCACGAGCCCCACTCGCGAGTCACCGCTCTTAGTCACATCAAAGCCTTATGCTGCTGCTATTGATCACCAGCCTACCTCAGAGAATGTGCCCGTTAGTTTGTTCAAGAGCGTCGACTTTCCCACGGACGGGAAACCCACGAGGCCCACTCGCGAGTCACCGCTCTTCGTCACGTCGAACCCCTCCCCTGCTCCGCCTCCCTTACCGCCCGACGGCGTGAGGATCTCTCGTCGAAGCTTCGCCAGTTTGGCCTGCAGTGGTGAGGGGAGAGGGAAAAGATAAAATTGAAACACGGACGGGAAACCCACGAGCCCCACTCGCGAGTCACCGCTCTTCGTCACGTCGAAACCTTCCCCTGCTCCGCCTCCCTTGCCGCCCGAAGGCGTGAGGATCTCTCGCCGAAGCTTCGCCAGCTTGGCCTGCAGTGGTGAGGGGAGAGGGAGAAGATAGATTTGAAACACCGCTGAAGGATTGGAAAAAAGAGTGCGAATGAGGGCAAAACGGAGATTCGAAACACGGGGAGCGGCGCAGTGAAGTGACGTTGTCTTGGAATTCTGCGTGCAAACGGGAGAATATTCGTTGTATGCAGCCCCGCAATCGATATCAGCTCACCTTTAGCAAGCCCAAGTGGTGCGCTGTTGCCTTGTTCTTCTGCGTGCGAGCCATCTGCAAGCATGAGAGCATAGGAGCGTAAGAAACGCGAGCACACGGGGAAAGATTGTCAGTACCTCATAACATGAACGTACTCGTAACCTCGCTCACTGGAAGATTTTTCCATTCCTTCACCTTCTCCAATGCTTCATTCACCTTCCGTCACGTCACGTCCAATCACTACTAATTCTCCCATTCAAAGCTCTTGAGTCTCGGTGAGGAGCGATTTTCAAGATCAACATGGCCGATATAAGAGACACCAACACAATGAAAACACGCACCTCACCCTCGATGTCTTTGATCTTCTGCGTAATCTTTTGAGACGTCCCAAAAGTCGAATCTCAAGATCAACATGGCCGATATAGGAGACACCAACACAATGAAAACACGCACCTCATCTTCAATGTCTTTGATCTTCTGCGTGATGGTCCCCATGGCTGCCGGTCAAAGGTCAACGACGGTTAACAACAGTTAACAAGGGTCAACGACGCTCGACGACACCCAACGACGGCCAAAAAAGGCTATTTCTCCTCCTGATGAACGGCGTTCCTATCCAGCACAGTCTAAGTTACGCGTTTGAGGGACAGACGAGTGGCCGAATCTAGATATTTGCAGGTCGAGTCGTTCAGCAGGCAGACCGTTTCGTCACACAAATGCTCGATTTGCTGCACAGCGACTTCTGAAGCTAACCACAACGAGAAGCTGTAACGCCGTTGCAACTACTGGCGCTTCCGGCTAACCACAACCAGAAACTTTATCGGCACGCCAGTAACCGAACCGCCAAAAACGTCGATCCGCAATCGTTTTCAACTGGCACGTAGCTTTTGAGTTAATATTCCAGGTCAGAGACACTGGTACGTTCAACGCCGATCGTACGTGTAAACTGCACAAGAGAACGGTAATCGACGGGTGCGTCAATCTCGGGAGCAGCAATGAAGCTTCTATGCGACTAAGCCGTGAAAGCCAAGTGGAACCGAACTGGAAGCGAGCTCTACGAGAGGCCACACGCAGAACCTTACACGCCAATAGCTAGAGAATTGGAAACTGAAGGCCAAAACCCTAATCTCCAGCTTTGCCTTGCGTAAGGGGGGGGGACCACGGGGGACAAGCTCGAGGGAAAGCAGGGATTTGGAATTCGGTGCATACGCGCTATAGATAAATGCTATCGTTTTCGAAGAATCGAGAAAGTCATCTATGTTAAACCGATATTCATGTATACACTACATTCTTCAACTAGAGTTCCAGAAGTATGCCTTGAGCTAAAAGCAAAACATTTCTTCACGGCAATCATGCAGCATTTCAAGGATGGCATCTTATGTTATGTGGTCAATGTCTGCAAATATTGGAAACAACCCTAAACCCAAACAATAAATGCCATTGTTAACAGTATCAAAAGAGCAACTCTGCTGAGCTACCACATACGGTAGCACATCGCTTTTCACCCTGCGCCTGGCTTTGGCCTGACAGAGAGCCAAAGCAGGAGGGACACACACAGCCACTGGTAGGTGACAAGTGTAGCAAACCGTATACTTCCAAACATTTCACAAATGAATATTGAACACCGCAGAGCACTCTCATTGGGCTTTGCTAGCACAATAGTAGTGACAAAGGCATACCAGATAGAAACAGTGTAAAGTTCACTCTATATGAACAAAAATAATGTCACACCCATGTTCTGCTAAACAGGGTCCAAGTTTCAGGCTGAAACCACTGCGAGGGTAACTGGAAGAATGGAATTGTGAAGTCTGGGGGAGCAGGGCAGGGAGAGGGGAAGGCAACGCAAAGGGAAAAACAAGTGCGGGATTGAGCACATAAAGGTCATGTGGTGTGAATGTGTGAGAGTGCATTATTTCTGTTGCATCCATGCATGCCTGTGTTATGGCATGCGCGCGTGTGTAGGAGTGTAGTGTATTGCTTACGTGTACAAATAGGTGTGCAAATGTTACAAGCATGAACCTACAACTGTGTGCATGTGACAGTCTATATGTCAGTGAAAGAAAGGGCAAAGAAACAGCATATGAAAGTTCCCAGCATATGAAACAGCCTACTCCAGATAACACAACCACGGACCTTGGGAACTGCTGCGTCCAATCTCATTCTGCCACGTGGCAGGAGCAGGCAGCCTGTCGTCTCTGTAGCTCTCCACCCACTCTTCCACCGGTATCCTCCTCTCAGCTACCTCCATCAACACAGCCAAACACGCGTTCACCTATGGTGGCGGGGGGAAGGGAAGGAGAGGAGCACATGAATTGCGATGAGGGGAGTAGGCCAATCGACCCTGTAGCTCCCCACCCACTCCTCCACCGGTACTCTCTTCTCCGCCACCTCCATCTGTACAGCCAGGCACGCGTTCACCTGTGATGGGGAGGGGAGGGAGTAAACGGATTGTCAATAAGGTGAAAAGATTTTGTGCACCCATCACCACTTCACCAGTACCCTCCTCTCTGCAACCTCCATCAGCACAGCCAGACAGGCGTTCACATGTGACGGGGAGGGAAAGGAAAGGAGTTGCAATGAGGAAAGACAGCCTGTGGTCCCTGTAGTAAGGCTCCACCTACTCCTCCACCAGTACTCTCCTCTCTGCTACCTCCCTTAGCACAATTCAGCACGCGTTGTTGTTGGCACGGAGGGGACAGGCAAGGAAGAAGATTGAATGGGCAATGCCTGTAGTAAGGCTCCACCCACTCCTCCACCGGTACTCTCCTCTCTGCCACCTCCATCAGCACAGCCAGAGATGCGTTCACCTGTGGTGGGAAGGGGGAGGTTGGTTTTAGGTGAGGCATGTGCACCTCATGCGCTCTCTCCAGCAGCACCATGTGTGCTCCCATGAGAGGCAGGAAACGCGCCACCCTCCCATTGGGAGACCTTATGTGCTCTCCCCATCGCCACCTATCAACACACCTCGTGTGCTCTCCCCCTCCCTCACCTCATGTGCTCTCTCCCGCAACACCATATGCGCTCCCATGAGAGGCAGGAAGCGCGCCACCCTCCGTAAAGACACACCTCATGTGCTCTCTCCCTCACAGCCTGCTCTCTCTCTCCCTCACCTCATGTGCTCGTTCCCGCAGCACCATGTGTGCTCCCATAAGAGGCAAACCACCCTCCCTAATGGCATACCTCATGCGCTCTCTCCCTCACTAGCTCATATGCCCCCTCTCTCTCGCCATCACCCCCAATAAACACACCTCGTGCGCCCTCTCCCTTAACACCATGTGTGCTCCCATGAGAGGCAGGAAGCGCGCCACCCTCCCTAGGCTCCTCGCGACCCTCTCGCCCAGTGAGATGTGAGCGATGACGTCATCCCTGAAGGTGTGGGGACGAGCAGAGGGGTGTGGGGGAAGGGAAAAGGGTGGAGGGAAGGGGGGGTCGGTTTGAGGCGAGTCATGTGTGCCTCATGCGCTTGCTTCCGCAGCACCATGTGTGCCCTCTCCCGCAGCACCATGTGTGCTCCCATGAGAGGCAGGAAGCGCGCCACCCTCCGTAGGCTAAAGCGACCCTTTCGCCCAATGAGATGCGAGCGATGACGTCATGTCTGAAGACAGGGGGCCAAGTGGAGGGGTAAGGGGGAGGACATCAGTGCTCCTATGTTATGGGTGGTGGGGGTGAAGCATGTGTGGTTACCATCCATGTGTGGTTATGTAACCATTTGTAAAGCATGAAGAGGGGAGAGGGAGAACAAGAAAGGAAGGACGAAAGAGTAGATGGAAGAGAGAAGAAGGGAAGAGGGAAGAAAGAAGAGGGAACAAGGAAAGAGAAAAAAGACAGCAAGTACCTGCCATGGATGACGGTGGTGGGTATGTGAGCGGTGCAGATCTCATCCACATTGTGGCGAGCGGGGGAGTGGGTTTAGGGAGCAAGGAAGAAAGCGAACAGGGAAAAGGAAGGAGAGGCTAAAGTAAAGAGCACGTACCTGCCATGGATGACGGCAGTGGGGATGTGTGCGCTGCAGATCTCATCCAGACCGTGTGGTGTGAGGGAGTGCGGTTAGGGAGACGGTGAGGAGAAGGAAGAGGGAAGAGGGGGAACAGGGGATAAAGGGACCAGAGGAGAGGTAGGCCCCTCACCTGCCATGAATGACGGCCGTGGGGATGTGAGCGCTGCAGATCTCATCCACATCGTGTGGTGTGAGGGAGTGAGTCCAGCACGCAGGGGAGAGATCAAAGGTAAGAGGGAAGAAAGGGAAGACTTTTCACCTGCCATGAATGACGGCGGTGGGTATGTGTGCGCTGCAGATCTCATCCACATCATGTGGTGTGAGGGAGTGGGTCCAGCACGCGTTCAGATGTCCATTGGCACCATGAGGTGTCTGCATGGCGGATGGTGCTGACAGCTCGCGCACATACTCCTGTGGGATGGGGATGGGGGGATGGAAAGAACAAAGGGGGGAGTGGGTCCAGCACGCATTCAGGTGCCCGTTCGCCCCGTGGGGTGTCTGCATGGCGGATGGTGCTGACAGCTCGCGCACATACTCCTGTGGAGGAGATGAAGTTGAGGGGTTTTGGGAATGGGGGGGAGGAGTAGATCTCTTTGATCACTTAAAGAAAAAAGGGGATGGGACTGGGGGGATGGGAAGAAAAAATGGGGGAGTGGGTCCAACACGTGTTCAGGTGCCTGTTCGCCCCGTGAGGGGTTTGCATGGCGGATGGAGCTGACAGCTTGCGTACATACATACTCCTGTGAAAGTTGGTGGGTTGGGTGGGAGCACGAAAGATGAGAAATAGAGTGTGAGAGAGAGCGTCCAGCACGCGGTGATGAGCCTGTTTGCCCCGAGATGGGGTGGTAGGAAAGGAAGACAAATGGCGGGAGGAGAAGGATGGCGTGTGAGAGGGAGCGTCCAGCATGCGTTGATGTGCCCGTTCGCCCCGTGAGGCGCCTGCATAGGGGATGGTGCTGATAGCTCGCGCACACACTCCTGTGGAGGAGAAGGGGTGGTGGAAGAGTGAGAGAGTGGTCCAGCAGGTGAGGGAGTGCGTCCAGCATGCGTTCAGGTGCCCGTTCGCTCCATGAGAATTCTGCATGGCGGATGGTGCTGACAGCTCGCGCACATACTCCTGTGGGATGGGGATGGGGGAATGGGCAGAGAAGAACCCACATGGTGGGTTGGGTGGGGGTATGGAAGGTGGAACATGCCAGTGAGAGAGCGGGTCCTACATGCACTCAGGCGCCCATACACCCCGTGGGGAGTGTGCAAGGCGGACGGTACTGATACTTCTGAGGAGAAGAGTTGATGGGGATAGGAAGAAAGAGGGGGGCGTGTGGGAGAGTGAGACCAGCAGTTGAGAGAGTGGGTCCAAGATGCACTCAGGTGTGTTTGAGTCGACTCAAAAACAGACTCGGGCGCCCATTCGCCCGTGGGGAGTCTGCAAGGCCGATGGTGCTGACAGCTCAAGCAAATACTATACTCCTGAGGAGGAGAAGGGTGGTGGGGACTCGCGAAGAGAAGAACCCACATGACATGTGAGGGAGTGAGGGAGTGAGGGAGTGAGGGAGTGCGTCCAACACGCATTCAGGTGCCCATTCGCCCCGTGGGGAGTCTGCATGCGAAATATGATACACGCATGCCGCACGCACCCTACGGAGGCGATTCTCAGTGGCCGGCCAGTACCCACTTGAAGGAACAACAGACAAGCGCACAGCACAGCACACGCCATGGCTAAGAAACAAGATAAAAGGGTTGTTTTGAGACGTCTCAAAGCAACTCTTTCATCACATGGCACCCTATGGATGCAATGTGATTCTAAGTGGCCTGCCACTACCCATCGAAGGAACAAACAAGCACTCAGCACAAGCCATGGCTCAGAAACAAGCCCGATCAAGAAACATGCAACGATCGCCGCAGGCAGAGCTTCTCTCCGTGACAAGCCACTGTGTGCCTCCGTTTCTTTCGAGTCGACTCAAAACGAGGTGATTTTAAAGACGACATTGGAGTCAAATTGTAAACGACCTCACACACGATCGCCACAGCGCCATACCATGTGCAGAGCCTCTCTCCGAGACAAGCCACTGTGTGCCTCCATTTCCTCCATGTATTCCTGGCAGACAGAAGGGAAGAGCCAGGAAGAAGGCAGAGAACAAGGGCAAAAATAGTGATTTTTGAGGTGCCAGTATAAATCCTTTCTGGAAGAAGCCACTGTGTGCCTCCGTTTCCTCCATGTACTCCTGGCAGACAGAAGGGAAACGGCAGGAAGAGAGCAGAGAACAAGGGAGAGAAGACGACCTTTGAGCGATTTTCTTGGCAAAGGCTTGAGGCAATGTCTGAGCGGTGTGTATATAAATCCCCTCCGTGAAATTCCACTGCTTGCATCCGTTTCCTCCATGTACTCCTGGCAGACAGGCAGAAGGGAATAACCGGGAGAAGGCGGAGAACAAGGGAGAAGAACAGATGTTTGAGAACAGGCGCCTGAGTAAATCCTCTTCGTGTCAAGCCACTGGCTGCCTGCCTTGCCTTCCTCGCATATACTCATGGCAGGCAGAAGGGAAGAGCCGGGAGGGCAAGTAGAGAGACGTCTCAAAAACACCCTCGCTACACAAGGGAGAGCAGGGCGTGGCACCTCACCTGGGAGAGAAGTGCGCGTGCAGGTCCACCTGAGAAGAACCAAGCTCCGAGGTAGGATTTGTCGATTTTTGAGTCGACTCAAAAATCGACTCAACTTTTGAGGCGCCTCAAAAGAAGTTCGCTCCGCGTCCAGGTCCACCTGAGAAGAACTAAGCTCCGAGGTAGGGAGATCCAATGCATCGACTCAAAAGGGCCAATGAATCAGAAAAGAGGTGTGCACGGTGCACCTCACCTGCGAAAAGTGAGTGTCCAGGTCCATCTAAGCTCTCAGCTCGTGAGAACAGGAGGAGTTCGATCAGGAGTCTTTCTGCGTTCACTCAGAGTCATCTCACCTGCGAGAAGTGAGTGTCCAGGTCCACCTGAGCTCTCAGCTCTGGGGTTCGGGCGTTCAGCAGGCGGTACGCGATGGAGAAGACACGTGATTCCAGCTGGGGTGGGGTGGTGTGGGGGAGAGGTATGGCAGACAGAAACATCAGGAGGCACTTCAGACAGAGAAGTGAGTGTCCAGGTCCACCTGAGCCCGCAGCTCCGGCGTTCGGGCGTTCAACAGGCGGTAGGCGATGGAGAAGACACGCGATTCCAGCTGGGGTGGTGGGGGCAAGAGGGGGTAAGGAGGAGCATGGCGGACAGAAACAACGGGAGGCGTCTCGGGTAGAAGAACAGGGTTCGGGCGTTCAACAGGCGGTAGGCGATGGAGAAGACTCGTGAGTCCAGCTGGGGTGGCGGCGGGGAGGAGGGGGGGGAAGGGGGGGGGTAAGGAGGAGCATGGCGGACAGAAACAACGGGAGGCGTCTCGGGTAGAAGAACAGGGTTGGGGCGTTCAGCAGGCGGTAGGCGATGGAGAAGACACGCGATTCCAGCTGGGGTGGTGGCGGGAAGGGGAAGGATTGGGCGAAAAAGGGGAGGAGGGGAGAATGGGTGTTCAAAACCCTCAGCTCCGGAGTTCGGGCGTTCAGAAGGTGGTAGGCGATGGAGAAGACTCGTGGGACCAGCTGGGGTGATGGTTGGGAAGAAGGAAAGGGGAGAGTGGAAGAAGGAAAGGGGAGAGTGGAAGAAGGAAAGGGGAGAGTGGAAGAAGGAAAGGGGAGAGTGGAAGTATGGGGATGGTGTTTGGGAGGTGCCTGAGATAGAACAATGTTCGGGCATTGATCAGGCGGTAGGCGATGGGTAGGACATGCGAGTCCAACTGGTGTGATGGTATGGAGGAAGGGAAGCGGGGTGGGAGGAGGGGTACGGTACGGAAGACAGAAGCATCAAGAGGTGCCTCAGATAGAAAGAACGGGGTAGACTAGTTGGAATCTGCTGAATGGTAGACTAGCTTGCAGTAACACTGGTGCAGAAAGAATAAATACATGTGCCAGAGAGAAAGTGGTGAACCCTACATATGGGAAAGGAATGGTGGTGAGGATTGGTGAGGAGGGGTAAAAAGTGGCGAGGAGGGGTGAGGAGTGGTGAAGAGGGGTGAGGAGGGGTGAGGGGCGGTGAGTAAGGGTGAGGAGTGGTGGGCCCTACACGGGGGAGCAGGTCGAAGCCGCCTCCGCTGACGCTGATGAGAGCAAGAGAGATTATTCGATGCGATGCTGCTGCTGCCACCTTGCATGCTATCATGCCGCCTGGAGTGATGAGAGGATGGTGGGGAGGAAGGGAAAGAGGGATGCATGAGATGAGCGGGGAGAAGGAACACCGAGACTCAATGTGATGCTGCTGCTGCCACCTTGCATGCTATCATGCCGCCTGGAGTGACAGGTCAGGGGAGGATGGAGGGGAGGGAAGAGGGCGGGACGGAGGTGAAACTGAATGTAGGAAGCGATAATCCTGATGAGTGCAAGGGAGATGAAACTCACACACGGAGATGAAACTAACGCATGGACGTGAAACTGACCCAGGGAAATGAAACCGACCTATGGACATGAAACCAGCCTATGGATATGAAACAGACCCAGGAAATGAAACTGACCCAGAGAGATGAAACTGGGACATGGACATGTAACAGAATCATGGAGATCGACTCAGGGAGTTGAAACTGACCCATGGAGTGGCCAACCAAGTGGAACCTGGTCCAGCCGAGATGATCCGCCAGGAACAGAGCATCTGCTGCCATCACCTCCGTGCTGGTTGGGTGAGATGCGATTGGGGAGGGGGAGGGCGGAAGATGGGGAGATAGACCAGAATGCTACAAGAACTACCAGTGTCCAGCCGAGATGATCCGCCAGGAACAGTGCATCTGCTGCCATCACCTCCGTGCTGGTTTTGGGGTAGAGAGGGGTGGAAGGGGGTAGGGGGGGGGGTGGGAGGGGGTAGTAGTGCATACACACATACATCATCACACATGATCCGCCAGGAACAGTGCATCTGCCGCCATCACCCGCGCTGGTTGCGGGGTTAGGGGGAGGTGGAAGGGGGTAAGGGGGGGGTCGGAGGGGGTAGCACACAGACACATACATCATGCATGATCCGCCAAAAACAGTGCATTTGCTCCCATCACTTCCATGCTGTGCAAAAGGAGGGGGGCGGAGTGCGGGAGGAGGGGAAAATTAATGGAAAAAACAGTGTAAAACGAACACTAACACTTCTCCTGAACTTCAGTTTGTAGGAGCGAGCGCGTGTACCCTGTACAGACTAAAGGCTTCTTAGCTACGATAAGCTGGCTAATCGAAAAAACTAAGGTCTCGAGATGAGATTTGAGGTAGAAAACCGAGAATAGCTCAAGATAGCTGGGAGGAGACACAATGAAATTGTGGAGAGAAACTCTGAAAATGATTAGGTGTGGTCTTAAGACTTTCTAGCCGAGCAAAAGCAATGAGGGTAACGGAGAGGGAGCAGGGCTGTTGGGAGGAGCCGAGAGGACAAGTTTGGAACAGCTCGACCCTTGGAAGTGCTGTAGGTCTGGCATCCTTCGGGACTTTCTGAGTGTTGCATTGACATGTTGGCCCGGGCCAAAATTATATACAAGGGCAGCAAATGAAACGATTGGGTTGGCTGATCGACTCTCACGTAGAATTCGAGCAAGGCTGCAGCGCGGAAATTTTGTCTCGAAAGGCATACTGAGCCTCCTCGCGAGAGATCAGGCGCCTCGTTGACATAGGAAATTTTGTCTCGAAAGGCATACTGCGCGCTCGTAGAGTGAAATTTTTTTTTTTTTTTTTTTTTTTTTGTTTTCTCCAGTGGGCAGAATGTGAAACCACGAATTTGCCTATTTCCCTTGAAGCTGTGGTTCCACATTCTGCTCACTAGTAAAAAAAAGCAGCGCTGTTAGGTCACAACGCCTTCCTGTGGCAACAAGCCGCCTGATCTCTAGCGAGGAGGCCCGGTATGCCTTTCGAGGCAGAGATCCTGATCTCACAGAGGCGAACTGAACACAAAAACTTTTCGCGCCGCAGCCTTGTTCGCATCTTACGTGAGAGTCGATCGGTCAACCCATTCGTTTTGTTTGCTGCCCTTACATTATTTCGACTCAGACCAACATGCCAAAGCAACTCTCAGAAAGTCCAAGAGGATGCCAAGCCTACAGCAGTTCCAAGGGTCTAGCCGTTCCGAACTTGTCCAATCAGCTCCTCTTCCCCACAGCCCTCCTCCCTCTCCGTTATCCTCATTACTTTTGCTCGCCTAGAAAGTCTCAATCACCAAATCATTTTCCTAGTTTCTCTCCACAATTTCAGTGTGTGTCCTCCCGATTATATTTAGCTTTTCTCGGTTTTCTATTTCAGCTCTTATCTCGGAACCTTGGCCTTTTGTTTAGCCAGCTTATCATGGCAGAATGGGATCGAAAGCACTCAAGGGTACTGGGTGGGGTCGGAGGGGAACGAGCTATGCCCCACTCCTTGGTTGTCAAACACGCTCACCTCACCTCACCTCACCTCACCTCACCTCACCTCACCTCACCTCACCTCACCTCACCTCACCTCATTTCACCTCACCCCACCTCACCTCACCTCATCTCACCTCGACTCACCTCACCCCTGTGGCAAACGAGCTACTATTGAGTGTTACTCACGTGTACTGGCTGGGGTCGGAGGGGCACGAGCTGTGGCCCACTCCCCGGTTGTCAAACACGCACACCTCCCTCCCTCCCTCCCTCCCTCCCTCCCTCCCTCCCTCCCTCCCTCCCTCCCTCCCTCCCTCCCTCCCTCCCTCCCTCCCTCCCTCCCTCCCTCCCTCCCTCCCTCCCTCCCTCCCTCCCTCCCTCCCTGCCTGCCAGTGCATCTGCTGCCTCGCCTATGCCTCTTCCAGTGATCACATGGATTCCAAGCACGCAGGGCTCACACTTGTTCTCAGTGGGATGGGATCAGAGGGGCACTCACGTGTACTCAATGGGATCAGAGGGCACGAGCTGTGACCCACTCCCCGGTTGTCAAACACGCACACCTCCCTCCCTCGCACTACTCCACCTGCTGGCCCCTGTGTGTCTCTTCCAGTGAGCGCAATGGTCGGAATAGCACAGCACAGAGAGCACTCACGTGTACTCGCTGGGATCGATGGGGCACGAGCTGTGACCCACTCCCCAGTTGTCAAACACGCACACCTCCCTGCCTCCCTCCCAGTGCACATACCTAGAGATCTGCTACTACAGAGAGTGTTACTCACATGTACTCGCTGGGGTCGGTGGGGCACGAGCTGTGACCCACTCCCCGGTTGTCAAACACGCACACCCCCCTCCGACCCACCCTCCCTCCGAGGGAGCACTCACGTGTACAAAGAGCAATCACAGCACAGAGAGCACTCACGTGTACTCGCTGGGGTCAGTGGGGCACGAGCTGTGACCCACTCCCCGGTTGTCAAAGATGCACACCTCCCTCCCACTCCTCCACCCGCTGTCCTTCTCATCCTCCCCCCTCGCCTCCTCCCCCCTCTCACCCTCCCCCCTCTCCTCTTCTCCCCTTCCCTCCTCCAATCTCTTCTCCCCCTTCTCCTCCTCTCCTGTCGCCTCTCCCTTATCCCCCTCTCCTCCCTCCTCCCCTCCTCGCCTTCTCCCTCATCTCCCTCTCTCCCTCACACCCTTCGCCCAGACCTCTCTCCGCTCCTTCCCATTTCATCCGTCCCCCTCCATTTCCATCCCTGATCCCATAATAGCAACCCTCCTCCCTACGAAACTCCTCGTCACCTCTCCCCTTCTCCCCATCATCCCCCTCTTCTCCCTTCTCCCCCTTCTCTTCCCTCCCTCTCCCCACGCCCTCCTGCCGGCCCTCACCATTAGAAATACCCGTTCCCTCCCCAGCATCCCTTCTTTCAAATCCTCTCGACTCAAAAATCGACTCCTTGTGCCGTCCCCCTCCATTGGGAATACCCGTGCCCGCCAGAGCCTGCACCTGGAACCGCCACGCAGCGTGACCAGCGGCGAGACCTGGGAGACAGGGGAAGTGAGAGAGGGAGAGCCTGAGAGGAGAGGCGACAAATTGACTTGATTGCGGACACCCCATTCACCATTGGGAACACCCGTGCCCGCAAGAGCCTGCACATGGAACCGCCACGCAGCATGACCAGCGGCGAGACCTGGGGGGAGAGGGAATAGAGGGACGGAAAAGGGGAGAGGGAAATGGGAGGCGACAGATCTAGTTGATAGTAGACACCTCCTCCCTCCATTGGGAATACCCGTCCCCGCCAGAGCCTTCACCTGGAACCGCCACGCAGCATGACCAGCGGCGAGGCCTGGGGGGAAAGGGGAGGCGAGAGAGGGAGAGGAGATGCGACAGATCAAGTTGATTGTAGATATCCCCCCTTCCATTGGGAATACCCGTGCCTGCAAGGGCCTGCACCTGGAACCGCCACGCAGCATGACCAGCGGCGAGACCTGGGGGGGAAGGAGGAAAAAGAAGAGAGAGAAATCAATTGATAGAAGGGCACCTTCCCCTGCAGGTGGAAGCAGTGCCACTACCCACCCGTGCCTGCCAGGTGGCTTTTGAGTCGACTCAAAAGTCACCTCAGATCAAGTTGATATGATAGGAGGGCACCTTCGCCTGTAGGTGGGAGTACCCTCCCGTGCCCGCCAGTATACGCCTCCCTTCCTCCCACTATAGGGAATACCCCTGCCCGTCACACCCGCAAGTACAGAGTTGACTTTTGAATCAACTCAAAAGTCACCCCGTGCCCGCCAGTATACGCCTCCCTCGCTCCCACCACTGGGAATACCCCTGCCCGTCACACCAGCGAGTACAGAGGTGACTTTTGAGTCGACTCAAAAGTCACCCCGTGCCCGCCAGTATACGCCTTCCTCCCTCTCACCATTGGAAATACCCGTGCCCGTCACACCCGCAAGTAGAGCCTTCACTTAAAACCGCGAAGCAGTGTGGTCATTATCATACGCTCTTCGATACACGCACCCATTATCGTCGTAAGCACTTCAATACACACACCCATTATCATAAGCACTTCGACACACGCACCCATGATCATAAGCACTCCGATACACGCACCCATGATCATAAGCACTTCGATACACGCACCCATGATCATAAGCACTTCGATACACGCACCCATGATCATAAGCACTTCGATACACGCACCCATGATCATAAGCACTTTTATGTCTCCATGGCCGTACGTCTCGTAGAAAAGCCTCACTTTCTCGCCACCCCCGTCATTCCCGCCGCCATTCCCGCTATCGGCGCCGCCTGATCCGCCGTTTGCCGCAGAGCTTTGGTCGTTGCTGTGGCGATGATGGTTAGGAACAATGCAGTACGGCATGTCGCCACGTGGCCCTGCCCCGTGGCCGTGCCACGTGGTTCTGAATGCTGTGATAAGCCGCTCGGCTTATCAGTGAAATGCAGAATAGGAAATCCCAAGGTAGGGGAATGGCGTGAAGGTCTGCTTGTCGCTTGGCCTCCCAGTGAAATCCACTATCGGAGATCCCAAGGGCGACACGGAATTGCCAGCTTGACCTCTCGCTTGGCCTCTCGAGAGGCCTCCCCGTGAAATGCGGTGTCGCAAATCCCAGGTACGGAAATCTCCAGTTAGCTTCGCGCTTGGCTATCTAATCTAATGCAGTATCTGGAATTTCAAGGTAGCAAATGAAGGAATGTCCAGTCCAGTTGGCTTCGCGCTTCGCGTTTCAGTAGAATGCAGTCCCAAGGTTGGGACGTGCGAAGCCAAGTCTTCGCTTTTCACTCTCGCCGGAAGCACAGACGATGTCTAACAGACGTATCTAGAGCAAATGTCCACGGGACGGAGAGCGACGGCTTGTATTGAGGCACGTCTTACGGGACGGGACGTAAGACAGTGAGTGGGATGGTGTGTGGTGGCTTCCGTGCGAGGGGTTGGGTGGACTCGGAAGTCCTTGTTCGTGTAAGTCAGACGCGACCAAGGCTTCTAGAATCACTCGTTATAGGCGGCCTAAGACAGTACTTGCTGATCCATCGCCGTTACTCCATACAAGGACGGCGATCGGCGTCAGTTTGACGCGTTTTTTTATATTTTATATCGTTATGTCGAAATAAAAGAACAATTGACAATCCAGACTTGAGTCGGTTGCACAAGGCTAAGATGTTGAAACCTAAACACTCCTTCATTAGCCAAGTCTTCGTCTAGTTTGTGCTGCAGTACATATGATGAAGCGTGAAGGCATAAAATAGAGAAATAATGACGTGTCTTACTGAGCAGACAGCTACAGCAACTCCCCACAAGGGTGCCGATTTCCTCGCTATCCAATCGCTGGCGCCTCGTTAAATGCACGGCAAAATTCAACACAAAGAATGCGTTGAGAAGACCTCATGCTTTTTTAAAACTATAATAGATCACCCATAGCTAGAACCCATCAGAGTCACTATCCCTACCGCTCTGAGTGCCACTCCGAGTCCCATCCTCCTTCCCCTTGCCCCAATTCGCCACAGGAGACTGCCCGAAAATCGGAGTCAAATATATCGCAGCTGCCCCGGCAAGAAAACCTGCCCCATTCTTCAACAGCGGCTCCACGTCATCCGTCCGGGCAGTAATGGGCAGATACGAAAAAGCCACCAGCAGCAGCAGCCACAGCGGAGAGAAAAGCAGTACCCACTGCCAAGAAGCCTCCACCTTTCCGGAAGGTTCCAGACGCGCGGCGAAGCCGAAAACAATCCCGCTGAGGATTGCGGTGGAGAGAGTGACGAAGTAAAGGTCGTCTACCAGGCCGGGCACGTTGCTGCAACCAGTGGGCTTTAAGAGGCAGGTCTGCAGCGTGGCAACAGCTTCTTGGACTGCCCGTGTGTCTCCCTGCTCTGCCACGTAAAACTGGTTGCCAAAGCTGGAAGTGCGGGGCAGGAGAACGAGGGGGAGACGGGGAAGGTTGAGGCACAGGAGAATGAAGAGGCAGGTCTGCAGCGTGGCAACAGCTTCTTGGACTGCCCGTGTATCTCCCTGCTCTGCGACGTAAAACTGGTTGTCGAAGCTGGGGGAAATGGGGGAGGGGAAGAGGAGTGGGGGTGCGGGATGGCGGTTGAGGGGTAGGGTTGGAGGTGTGGAGGATGAGCAGGATGAGACTGGCAGCGAGCCAACAAGTTCTTGGATGGTCTGGTGTCTCCCTGCTCTGCAGAATAGAACTGATTGACAAAGCTGGGGAAATGGGGAAGGGGAAGAGGAGAGAGAGGAGGAGGAGTAGGCTGCCGGAGGGCTCTGGTGTCTCCCTGCCCTGCCATGTAAAACTGGTTGATAAAGCTGGGAGCAGCTAGGGGGGAGAGGGGAGGCGTGAGGAGTAGGCTGCTGGACGGCTCTGGTGTCAAATGTGGAGAGGGAAGAAGGGAGCAGGGAGAGGGGAGAGGGAGAGGGGAGAGGGAGAGGGGAGAGGGAGAGGGGAGAGGGAGGCCATATGTGACCACATGTGGATGCTGGCGAAGAAAACTATGGCTTTGCAATGGTAGGCGGATTTCTCTGGGACATAGCACTTGCGATGATGGGAATAAGAAAGGGGAACGGAGGCGGAACAGGGGTGAGAAAGGGGAACAAAAGGTGGGAAGAACAGGGGTGATGGGCAGGCGGGTGGGAGAAAGTAGAGAACTTTATGTGGTTGAGCGACTACAGATCTACAATATGGGTTCTAGATCGTACCGGGACTGTAGCTCGATGAAGAACTGACGTGGAAGCTTCTCCCTGACGGTGTCTCCTGCAAAGAAGTTGAGGATGTTGGGCGATGTGACGTCTGCCACCACCACTACTGTTCGGTCGTCAGGCTGAGAGGGATGGGCAACAATGGGCAGAGGAAACTCATGAGACATGCATGGGATGTTGGGCGATGTGACGTCCGCCACCAACACTACTGTTCGGTCGTCAGGCTGAGAGGGATGGGCAACAATGGGCAGAGGAAACTCATGAGACATGCATGGGATGTTGGGCGATGTGACGTCCGCCACCAACACTACTGTTCGGTCGTCAGGCTGAGAGGGATGGGCAACAATGGGCAGAGGAAACTCATGAGACATGCATGGGAAGTTGGGCGATGTGACGTCCGCCACCAACACTACTGTTCGGTCGTCAGGCTGAGAGGGATGGGCAACAATGGGCAGAGGAAACTCATGAGACATGCATGGGATGTTGGGCGATGTGACGTCCGCCACCAACACTACTGTTCGGTCGTCAGGCTGAGAGGGATGGGCAACAATGGGCAGAGGAAACTCATGAGACATGCATGGGATGTTGGGCGATGTGACGTCCGCCACCAACACTACTGTTCGGTCGTCAGGCTGAGAGGGATGGGCAACAATGGGCAGAGGAAACTCATGAGACATGCATGGGATGTTGGGCGATGTGACGTCCGCCACCAACACTACTGTTCGGTCGTCAGGCTGAGAGGGATGGGCAACAATGGGCAGAGGAAACTCATGAGACATGCATGGGATGTTGGGCGATGTGACGTCCGCCACCAACACTACCGTGCGGTCGTCGGGCTGAGAGGGATGGGCAACAATGGGCAGAGGAAACTCATGAGACATGCATGGGATGTTGGGCGATGTGACGTCCGCCACCAACACTACTGTTCGGTCGTCAGGCTGAGAGGGATGGGCAACAATGGGCAGAGGAAACTCATGAGACATGCATGGGATGTTGGGCGATGTGACGTCCGCCACCAACACTACTGTTCGGTCGTCAGGCTGAGAGGGATGGGCAACAATGGGCAGAGGAAACTCATGAGACATGCATGGGATGTTGGGCGATGTGACGTCCGCCACCAACACTACCGTGCGGTCGTCGGGCTGAGAGGGATGGGCAACAATGGGCAGAGGAAACTCATGAGACATGCATGGGATGTTGGGCGATGTGACGTCCGCCACCACCACTACCGTGCGGTCGTCGGGCTGAGAGGGATGGGCAACAATGGGCAGAGGAAACTCATGAGACATGCATGGGATGTTGGGCGATGTGACGTCCGCCACCACCACTACCGTGCGGTCGTCGGGCTGAGAGGGATGGGCAACAATGGGCAGAGGAAACTCATGAGACATGCATGGGATGTTGGGCGATGTGACGTCCGCCACCACCACTACCGTGCGGTCGTCGGGCTGAGAGGGATGGGCAACAATGGGCAGAGGAAACTCATGAGACATGCATGGGATGTTGGGCGATGTGACGTCCGCCACCACCACTACCGTGCGGTCGTCGGGCTGAGAGGGATGGGCAACAATGGGCAGAGGAAACTCATGAGACATGCATGGGATGTTGGGCGATGTGACGTCCGCCACCACCACTACCGTGCGGTCGTCGGGCTGAGAGGGATGGGCAACAATGGGCAGAGGAAACTCATGAGAAATGCATGGGATGTTGGGCGATGTGACGTCCGCCACCACCACTACCGTGCGGTCGTCGGGCTGAGAGGGATGGGCAACAATGGGCAGAGGAAACTCATGAGACATGCATGGGATGTTGGGCGATGTGACGTCCGCCACCACCACTACCGTGCGGTCGTCGGGCTGAGAGGGATGGGCAACAATGGGCAGAGGAAACTCATGAGACATGCATGGGATGTTGGGCGATGTGACGTCCGCCACCACCACTACCGTGCGGTCGTCGGGCTGAGAGGGATGGGCAACAATGGGCAGAGGAAACTCATGAGACATGCATGGGATGTTGGGCGATGTGACGTCCGCCACCACCACTGCCGTGCGGTCGTCGGGCTGAGAGGGATGGGCAACAATGGGCAGAGGAAACTCATGAGACATGCATGGGATGTTGGGCGATGTGACGTCCGCCACCACCACTACCGTGCGGTCGTCGGGCTGAGAGGGATGGGCAACAATGGGCAGAGGAAACTCATGAGACATGCATGGGATGTTGGGCGATGTGACGTCCGCCACCACCACTACCGTGCGGTCGTCGGGCTGAGAGGGATGGGCAACAATGGGCAGAGGAAACTCATGAGACATGCATGGGATGTTGGGCGATGTGACGTCCGCCACCACCACTACCGTGCGGTCGTCGGGCTGAGAGGGATGGGCAACAATGGGCAGAGGAAACTCATGAGACATGCATGGGATGTTGGGCGATGTGACGTCCGCCACCACCACTACCGTGCGGTCGTCGGGCTGAGAGGGATGGGCAACAATGGGCAGAGGAAACTCATGAGACATGCATGGGATGTTGGGCGATGTGACGTCCGCCACCACCACTACCGTGCGGTCGTCGGGCTGAGAGGGATGGGCAACAATGGGCAGAGGAAACTCATGAGACATGCATGGGATGTTGGGCGATGTGACGTCCGCCACCACCACTACCGTGCGGTCGTCGGGCTGAGAGGGATGGGCAACAATGGGCAGAGGAAACTCATGAGACATGCATGGGATGTTGGGCGATGTGACGTCCGCCACCACCACTACCGTGCGGTCGTCGGGCTGAGAGGGATGGGCAACAATGGGCAGAGGAAACTCATGAGACATGCATGGGATGTTGGGCGATGTGACGTCCGCCACCACCACTACCGTGCGGTCGTCGGGCTGAGAGGGATGGGCAACAATGGGCAGAGGAAACTCATGAGACATGCATGGGATGTTGGGCGATGTGACGTCCGCCACCACCACTACCGTGCGGTCGTCGGGCTGAGAGGGATGGGCAACAATGGGCAGAGGAAACTCATGAGACATGCATGGGATGTTGGGCGATGTGACGTCCGCCACCACCACTACCGTGCGGTCGTCGGGCTGAGAGGGATGGGCAACAATGGGCAGAGGAAACTCATGAGACATGCATGGGATGTTGGGCGATGTGACGTCCGCCACCACCACTACCGTGCGGTCGTCGGGCTGAGAGGGATGGGCAACAATGGGCAGAGGAAACTCATGAGACATGCATGGGATGTTGGGCGATGTGACGTCCGCCACCACCACTACCGTGCGGTCGTCGGGCTGAGAGGGATGGGCAACAATGGGCAGAGGAAACTCATGAGACATGCATGGGATGTTGGGCGATGTGACGTCCGCCACCACCACTACCGTGCGGTCGTCAGGCTGAGAGGGATGGGCAACAATGGGCAGAGGAAACTCATGAGACATGCATGGGATGTTGGGCGATGTGACGTCCGCCACCACCACTACCGTGCGGTCGTCGGGCTGAGAGGGATGGGCAACAATGGGCATAGGAAACTCATGAGACATGCATGGGATGTTGGGCGATGTGACGTCCGCCACCACCACTACCGTGCGGTCGTCGGGCTGAGAGGGATGGGCAACAATGGGCAGAGGAAACTCATGAGACATGCATGGGATGTTGGGCGATGTGACGTCCGCCACCACCACTACCGTGCGGTCGTCAGGCTGAGAGGGATGGGCAACAATGGGCAGAGGAAACTCATGAGACATGCATGGGATGTTGGGCGATGTGACGTCCGCCACCACCACTACTGTTCGGTCGTCAGGCTGAGTGAGACGCAATGACACACACCAGACACGCAGGGTTTGGGAGAGAGAGGGAGGAAAGAAAAGAGAGGAAACGCATGATATGTGCATGGGATGTTGGGCGACTTGATGTCCGCCACCACCACTACCACGTGGTTGCCGGGCTGAGATGTGAGTGCGACGCACAGACGAGACATGCACAAGTAAGGAAAAAACGAATGCACATGATGGTGCATACGTGCACGGGAGACGTGGTTCCAATGCACATTTTCCGCTTCGCCTCGTTCAATTTAAACTGTACAGACACGTACTAGGCCAGCACTCGCTTACTCACCCTGCATAGGTTCTTTCACAATGCCTTCCTTACCTACCACACTGCACGTAGGGCTTCTTTTTCGAACTGCTCAGTCGTATACTTAGTCAGCACACACTTGCTGACCATCCGTACCTTCTATCCGCAATTTCAAGACATTCAACAGCATTCGCCATCCATGCACATTTATGTTTCGCCAGGATTCCTCTCCCCGCTTCCCTTACCTGCCACACTGCACGTAGGGCATCCGTCTCGAACTGCTCAGGCGCATACCGAGTCAGCACACGCATACGCCATCCATACTCCCTCTCCAAGTTCTCCAGCTGACGAATCATAACCTCCCGTTTCCCGCCGCCCAGCAGCTGCGCTCCGTCAATCACGGGGCTCGCTGCTGCCATGCTGTCAGCTGCTGATTGGCTAACGGGAAAGGCGCTATCTGGTGAAGGTGCAACTGCAGCTGCCATTTCCGCGATCTGCGCGACTGGTCCTGAGTATGGCATTGCTAGGGTTTGCTGGATGTCCCGAGTCGTAGCTCCTGGGGAAAGTGACACAACAAGAGCGGATGATGGTACTGCTGCAAGATCAGCTGGCCCTTCTGCTGCTGCGGAAGCTTCCAAGGGAAGGGAAAGGAGCGTGACGACTGAAGCCGTTGTGAAGAGGAAGGTAGCGGCGACATTCGTGATTTGTCGCACGAGGTTGGCGACGGATTCGCGTAGCGGCGAGCTTGTGGTTTCGCGGGATTCGATGGATGCTGACGATGGGATGGCAAGGATTGGCAAATTGTGTGTCGCGCGAATGTTGGAGTAAAGCGAATTGGAACCATTAACGTGTGAAGGTACATTCTGCGGCAGACTTTGCACCTGACGCGACGCGTGAGCAGCCGCGGCGACCTTCGCGAAACCAGTGCCGACTGGCTGGGGAGCAGCATGTTCTCGTGTCAAACGGGTGATAATGTTAGATGACGAGCGGCGAGAGCATGCCTTGCCGAGGCAAATGCGATGGCCGTCCAGTGAAGAGAGCAGCTGCCATTTAGCTGTCTCTGCTAAAGGCAATAGGACAGCCATGGCAGCCATGATAGAATTGGAGCTCCTAGGTGGTGATGAATTTTTATCACGGACGCCACGTTTCGGACGAGTACATATCTCTAACCGACTAAAATGCTACGGAAACGTGTTGTACCTCCCTGCAACGCAGTCAACCAGGCCCGCGACATGGCAGCTTTCCAAAGTGCTACTGTAAATTTGTGCTCCACTATTTATGAGGATTGTAAATTTGTTTTGTGAAGGCCATGAGAGGAGGATGTAATTCAAATGTCAACAGCACATTAAGTGAAACCTGCACTGGTGCCTCCCTTTCCAGCCAGAGTTCCTTGATCAAGGTTATGCAAAACTACCATTGAGACATAAGGTTGGTGTGAATCCTCAATCCACAGCACCCTGCATTGTCATAGTATCATCTGCCCAGGTAAGCTTGGAGTTGCCTACGAAGTTCATCATTCTCCTTCCGCATCTTCATCATTCTCTGTTTTATGGCATCAGCATGCCTGTTTGGCACTGCTTCGCGAATTTGTTCCTCCATCTTTTGCCTGAATTCTTTCATCTGTTCTTGCAGCTGATTCTCAGCAAGAGAGCCTGCACATACAGTAGTTAAGCTGTCACCCATGTACTCCACAGGCCATGAGAGGGAAGAAAACGGCCAAGGTGACTTACATTTGTACTCAGCCATTGAAAGGGACTTCTCCAAAGACTTCCGTCGGGCCTCTTCGTCATGAAGCTGGTTTCTCAGAGTCGCCAGCTCACTCTCATCTGCAACGTACGTGATCAGCAGGCTGCGCCTGAACAGTCACCAATGCCGCCCAAAGCGAACTTACACTTCACCCTTTGTGAGAATGCTGACTCCTTAATTTGTCTCTTTTCATGCTCGCTTTCACTGTTCTGCTGCTCCAACCTGTCCTCAAGAGTTACCACCATCGCCCATGCCTCAGAAAGCTCCTTTTCCAGGCTCCTGGAAAAAATGCCGTGTGAACACCAATATTGCAAGTGGAAACGTGCAACAAACTCTTACCGTACTCGATTTTCAGCCACGGTTTTGGCTTGCGATGCCCTGTCATCGACAGTGCTAAGGACACCTTTCAACTCCTGAACGAAGATTTCGGAAATAAGACGTTTTAAAAAATAAGAAATATGTCACAAAGAGCAATGCGTACCTCCATCTTCAGGTCGTACTCCTCCTGCTGTTTTTTTAGCCGATCCTCAGCCTCTTCATACAGCTTGCGAAAGTGGAACTGGACGTGTGAAAGACATTGTAATTGAAGTCACAGCGGGAAGGCTATGGACCTGTAAGGCAACAACTAACCTGTTGCTGGATAATTTCAAGTTCGGCTTGTCGAAGAGAACGCAACCTTTCCACTTCTGCAGATAAACAGATGTCAGATTTTTTTCTTTTGAGGATAGCAGCCAAATGGAGAAACAACTCAGTCGCGCTTTTGAGGATAGCAGCCAAATGGAGAAACAACTCAGTCGCGCTTACCATTCTGCAACATCAGCTCACGCTGTTCCGCTGCTTCTCTCCTGTACTCAGCGGAAGCTAAGGCTGAACGCAAGACCTCCAGCTCAGACTGGCCCTTCTTGATTTCCTGCCAATGCAAAATGCATAGACAGTGAAACCTTCTATTTTGTGAGTCCCAATGCATTATTTTGTTAATTAACACACATACAATCTCGACAAGGCGAAGCTCTCCATTGACAGCGATTATGCTCTCTCGTAACATGGATACTCCTGAGGAAGCGAAAATGAGCTCTGGATGCTGGCAAGCAGGCCGTTGCGCTTTGAAAGTTTGGTTCGTCTGGACAGGTAGCACAAGCGATGGTTGTGATGGGCACGAGGTTGTTCGATTAGTTCGATTTAGCGCAAGGTGCAGCTTCGTATATAAAAGCCTATCTGCGAGCATGTACAGTGATGAAATTTGTATAGAAGTATATTTCATACGGTACATCTTTCAATGCAGTTATTATAAAGAGCAGTTAATATAATTCATACGTTTAAAAAATATCTTTTTGACTATGGTGTATTCTATAAAGCTATACTATCACGTTTCTGAATATAGGATACCAAACTAAAAATTTGAAATTCATAAAAAATGCAATGATAGTTTTGGAATTATGTTTCAATGGTAAGACTCACGCTTCCGTGTTGATTAGTGAAATACATAGTGCCAGAACAAAAGACAAATCAAACCAAGATAAGGAACGAGAAGACAAACCTCTAAAGGTAGAAACTTCACTGCACCCATTTATATCCCGAGCCCCTCTCAACCTTCACTCACGCGTGGAAATTCAGGCCAGAGATACGCAGCGAAGTGTGTTTGCTGATTCTCATCATCATCATCGTCAGTCATGCGCGTCGCGCACGCCCTAGCGCTGCTTGTCTTCGCTGCCGCGGCATGTCATGCTGCCGGCGCGGCTCGCAGGAGCGCCGTGTACGCCGATAGCAGCAGCAGCAGCGTGCACTTCGTGTCGCCTGATGAGGCCAGAGAGCTTCGCGAGGAGGTGAGACGAGCCTTCTCTCTTCGACAGTACAATTTCCGTTGCGCAATTCGTCGCATCATTTGACAGTTACGTATCAGTGAAGTAATTAGAGACCATATGTGCTAAAATTCTGCATTTTTGACAGGTCACTGGAAGTATTTTCGCCATTATTAGCCATTCACCCAAGCGACGCTGTCTGAATTCGGGCATTCTCGGCCGTGATTTTTATGTTCCTGTCAAACACCTTTCTTAAATCGATTCCGGGTCGTGTGGCAGGTCCGGGCCATGTTCTATCATGGCTATAACGGGTACATGCGTCATGCGTTCCCTCTGGATGAGCTTCGCCCTCGGTCGTGCAAAGGAGAGGATTCACTGGGTGGCTATACTCTCACGCTGGTAAGTCAACCACCCTCGTGATTATGCTGTTAAAGATACCTTTCCTGTTGCCACTTTTGACCTGTCATGCTAAGAAGAGGATTCACTGGGTGGCTACACCCTCACGCTGGGCAGTCAGACACCTATTCAGGTATCCCTTCTTGTGAATCGACTCAAGAGTGACCTTTTTAAATCATTCCAGAAGGAGAGGATCCACTAGGTTGTCAGAGTCCCTCTGATGCGGGTCCGAATTCGTCTGATGCCGGTTAGGGTTCCCCTGATGCAGGTTCCTTGAATTCTTACTGCTCATTCTGCTTTTGTTGCTCCTGCTGCTCGTGCCATACTCCTAGTCTTGCAGCTATCGAAGGATCAATGGCAATATGTGTGCGTATAACATTTCACTGTGTGACGTGCGCGTATTGTTACAACAGATTGACTCTCTGGATAGCCTGGCGTTGCTTGGGAACAAGACCGAATTCGCCACAGCTGTCAGATGGCTCTCTGCACACCTCAACTTCGACAAGGTGGGCACTTGAGAACTTAACAAGGTGAACACGTGACACGGCAATTTGTGCGAATATTCACATCAGTTTGACTCTCTGGATAGCCTGGCGTTTCTTGGGAACAAGACTGAATTCGCCACGGCTGTCAGATGGCTCTCTGCACACCTCAACTTCGATAAGGTGAGCACTTGGCAAGCTGAACACTTGACAAGGCAATATGTGCAAATCTTCACCACAGGTTGACTCACTGGAGAGCCTTGCAATACTTGGCAACAAGAGTGAATTCGCCTCGGCTGTCAGAAGGCTCTCTGCACACCTCAACATCGACAAGGTGAGCAGTTAATAAACGTTTGCAACTGATAAGGTGAACGATTGACAGTGCTAAAAAATTGACGAAAAAAAGATTTGTTTTGCTCTTAACAGGTGCAAAACGCGAAGATGGAATGATGCACGAGTGAATTGCTGTTTTCCATCTTGTTCAGAGTGTTGGCGTGCCTTATATGGCAAACGAGACTTTGCCATTGGCCCTTCTTTTGTTCCTCCTTCGTTCTCCCTTCCACCTGTTTCTGCCTCAGAACAAGTCCTTGTCTCTGTTTGAGACCAACCTCCGCGTCGTGACTTTTGGGAGGGCTGCTGCTGTGAGCCTTGCCACTTGCATTGAGACGGCTCAGTAGAAGGTCACATTACATTCATGTGCGGTGCCCTTCTGCTGCTCGCTCTCCTCCTCCCCTGTTACCTGCCTCAGAACAAGACCGTGTCTCTCTTTGAGACCAACATTCGAGTCATGGGAGGGCTGCTGTCAGCACACCTCATTGCATCTGACCCTGCTCTGGTAACCACACCTGCACTGGTGAACATGTGTGCACTGGTAGTAAGGTACGCACTGGTACTAGACAAGACATGAAACTTGGTAACCATACGACGCACTTGTAACCACAAATGCACTGGTAACCACATGTGCACTGGTGGTATTAATCTCGCCTTTGCCTTCGTGAAGAGTAGTGACAGTGGTTCTTTAGTTGCCCATCTCCCTTCCCCTCCCCCTCTCTCCCTCAGGGCATGCAGTTGTAAATATGACAAAGCTGCCTCCCCTCTTCTCCTCCTTGGATTCATCGTCTATCCTTGGCCCTTCGTCTCTCCCTTCTGCTCCGCCCTCTCCTCTCCCCCCTCACTCCCGCAGGGCATGCAGGTGCCTGGATACGACAACGAGCTGTTGAGGCTAGCAGAGGATTTGGGGAGGCGAATGCTGCCAGCTTTCGACACACCCACAGGTGTGTGTTCGTTCTGAGTTTTTTTCCATTGGCTGCTGCTCTTTGTGACCACAATGCTTCCAATCTCTCCACGTGCTTCTTCTCCTTTTGATGTATGTGCTTCTCGAGCAAGCAGGATTGGACATTTGAATCATCAGTCCTCTCGTCCTCTCGTCTCCTTTGTTTAAAGGCATCCCTTTCGGCTCAGTCAACCCACGCCATGGAGTGCAGTTGCGAGGGGAGTGACATTCCAAAGTAGCCACACGATTATAACTTAGAGATGACTAAGAACAGTCCTATTATGTACTGTGTTTATCACGTTGCCTTTGCTTCCAGGCATCCCTTTCGGCTCAGTCAATCTGCGCCATGGAGTCCTGCGAGGGGAGAGCAAGGTACGGGCTCGGATACCGTTTTTTAAAACCCTCAAAAGTGGGCTCTGATACCATGATTCCATATAGACCACTATTTGAGTTAATGTGCGTGCCCCATCCCATACTGGCTGGCACACATATGTGTCAACCTGCGCCATGTAGTGCTGCGAGGGGAGAGCAAGGTGAGAGATCTGATACCATGTTCACTGCAAGCAAGGTCAGTTCTGTAATGACACTTTTGGGAGCTCTCAAAGGTAGCTGACACAATGCGCACGGTCCATGCCGACAAAACATGTGTGTCAACCTGCAAAGGGCAAAGTGTGACATGAGTGGTGTGAGGGAAGGGGAGAGTGATGAGTGGTCTTGCCGTATAACGCCATGTTTTGCTGTTTCGTGTTACGCATCTCTATAAAGGTATGCCATGCCACATGCTGTTGTGAGTTTCCATGATATGCCACGCAGGTGACAGCAACAGCAGGTGGCGGCACACTCGCACTCGAGTTCGGCGTGCTCAGCCGTCTCACGGGCGATCCAGGCAAGTAGAATGAAGTCACCTCGCAAGAATGAATGAGCTCGCTCGCACATGCAACATGCGCACGTATGTTTGCATGCACGCGGTATGTTTGCGTCCCGATTATGGACAGGCGGCGGCACACTCGCACTCGAGTTCGGCGTGCTCAGCCGTCTCACGGGCGATCCAGGCAAGTGGACATGAAACTCCATGTCTGGATGGGTGTGTGTGTGCACGTGCGACTGGATATTCTTTCGCGTGGGTCTGTTTGTTTAGAGTTCTTCCCCGTATTCTCCGAATACAGCCTGTGTCAGAGACTCAATGTGTGAGGGCATTGAGTCAGTGTGAGGGCCTGCCCGTGCAGGTGCAATTCTGTGAGGGCATCGTGAGCTCACCGCTCCTCCCCTGGGCTTATGGGGAGGAGACTATGGGCGCATCTGGACATTGTCTTGTCTCGGCTGGCTCTTCGGCGGCTGGCTAGATGGGAGACGGTAGAGTCTTTACTGTCTCCCATCCTTGCGATCTCCTCTTCTGCTCTATTTCCTTCAGGTCTTGGTCTGGTGTGTAGTCTTTGAGGATGTGGCACGCAATGCTGTGAGAGCAATGTGGGCTCGGCCCTGTGAGCAATGCTGCTGGGGCTGGACGTAGACATCGTCTTGTCTCCCCACCTTCTCTCCGTACACTCCCCAACTTATTCTCCTCATCCACCACGTATCCTCGTCCGCCCTGCTTCCTGTTCAGTGTTTGATGACGTGGTCTTGCGTTGCTGTGAGGGCTCTGTGGCCTCGGCGCTCCTCCCTTGCACTGAGATGGCTCACATTCAAATCACACCATCCTGGCATCCCACATCTTTGTCCATTCTCTCTCCGTCTGCCCGTTTTCCATTTACTTGGCACGAGTTCAGTGTTTGAGGATGTGGCACGCAATGCTGTGAGGGCTCTTTGGGCGCGCAGGTCGTCCCTTGGGCTGCTAGGGGCGCATATAGACATCTTCACTGGGGAATGGACGCACAAGGTAGGCACGGAGATCTCAATCATCCAGTTTGGAAGTTACTTTGTGACTATTTTTTAACATGGCATGGCTTGTAAGGTAATTTCTACATTATGATATTTTTTAGAACCAATAATAAGAACAGAAGCGAATAATGATCTTATTGAACTGCATAATCTGCTCTGTTTAAAGTTTGTGCTTAGGGTTTAGGGTTGAACATTTTTGCCTTGAGGCTTGGATCATACTGCGATTGAAGGATTTTTACACTTTAGAGAGATGTAGGGATATGTGCACAATTTAGGTAATGTATGATTCGTCCCAAGCAATAAAAATTCCATCTCTATGGTAATCTGCTGTTGATATCTCCAGTGTTATTCGTACTCCTACACGTGTATCCAGCATTCAGGCCGTACCTATCGTCATAACATTTGTAATATGTACTCTGTGTTTTGGCAGGATGCAGGGGTCGGAACCAGCATTGATTCGTTCTACGAGTACCTAATAAAGGTATGTAGCTGAGGACCTGAGGTGCATATCAAGGTATTGTGATGCCACATATCGAGGTACACATTGTGTTTGGCGATTTTGAGTAGCTGCGCATTCCTCAGGGGGCCTGTAATGGTTATTGGGGCGCCTCAAAATTTCCCTGAATTCTGTTGCTGTCCTTTCCCCCTCCTGCCAGGCGCACATTCTATTCGGTGACTACGAGTATCTGCACATCTTTCAAGCAGCCTACGATGCTGTCATGACACACATATTCCATGACCCATGGTGAGTGGGAGGGGTAACAGATGGGTTTGGTCATGTGATGAGATCATGAGACACATATTCCATGACCCATGGTGAGTAGGATGAGCAGCACATGGGTTTATGGTTTGGTGGTTTGGTGAGTGGTTCTTCCGGGGGTAGGTGGGTGTTAGTGGGTATGCTTACTCTCGTAGCACGAGGTGTTACCTACCTCTCACAAGCACGCCCTCACACCCTTACACTCAACCCCTCGCACTCGCACATCCACACACCTTCACACGCCCTTCCCCTCCCAGGTACGTGGAGGACAACATGGATGTGGCAGTCGTCGTCTGACCTCTCTTCAACTCATTTGCATCCACCTCGCGCCCCAATTCCCCTGCACACCCCCCTCTCTTTCCCACTTCAATCAGGGTACGTGGAGGTCAACATGGACGTGGCAGTCGTCGTCTGACCTCTCTTCAGCACAGTGAAGTCAATATTCCCTTCCCCTGCCATGCCTCACACCCTCTAATGCCCCTCTATTCCGTCTCTCTCCCACCCTACTCATCAACCAGGTACGTGGAGGTCAACATGGACGTGGCAGTCGTCGTCTGGCCGCTCTAGATCTCATTCAAAGCCATACCCCCAATAGCACACCATATATGTTCCCCCTCCCTTCCTCTCTCCTCATCTCCCAGGTACGTGGAGGTCAACATGGACGTGGCAGTCGTCGTCTGGCCGCTCTAGATCTCATTCAAAGCCATACCCCCAATAGAACACCATATATGTTCCCCCTCCCTTCCTCTCTCCTCATCTCCCAGGTACGTGGAGGTCAACATGGACGTGGCAGTCGTCGTCTGGCCGCTCTTCAACTCGCTCCAAGCCTTTTGGCCCGGGCTGCAGGTACGACAAGGGTCGCAGGTACTAGGGTAATGGGGTTGCAGGCATTAGGGGGAAACTAATAATGAAGGTAATTTCGCACTATCTCCCTTTTGTCTCACTCACTGTATGGCAGTGACTTTTGAGTCGACTCAAAAGTCATTTCGCACTATCTCTCTTTTGTCTCACTCACTCTATGGCAGTCGTCGTATGGCTGCTCTTCAACTCGCTCCAAGCCTTTTGGCCCGGGCTGCAGGTAGGTACGAGGGGGGGTTGCTGCAAGTGGGTATTGAGGGGGAGGGGGGGAGGGGGAGAGGGGGGGGACATCTTGTAATCTGGCACACTGGGCTGGGAGCTACACTACACCAGTTCAAATTAAAGGCTATCACTCTTGAGGGAGGATTATGCGTCTCCTCGCCCTGTTCCAATGCTCCCTTTTTCTTCGATAGCGCACCACCGCCCCTCTTGATCTCAACGGGTCACGATTGGAGATATAGTCCTTGGTGCTCGCTCCCACCGTGCCTTCTTCTCAGTGTGGTGGCTCATCCTGGGGAGATTGGATCAACCCAAAGGCCTTCCTTCCCAAGGGAGGGTTATGCGTCACACTCTGTTCCTCACTCTCCCACACCACCAACTTCAACAACGGGTCACGTTTGGAGATATATTCCTTGCTGCTCGCTCCCACCGTGCCTTCTTCTCAGTGTGGCGTCGCTACGGGTTCACCCGAAAGAGATTCCACCTTGCAGGCTTTACTCCTGAGGGAGGGTTATGCTTGCCACGCTTCGTCTAACTCTCCCCACCCTCCACCAACCCTACCAACATCAGGTCATGATCGGTGATATTGACCTCGCAGCTCGCTCCCACCGCGCCTTCTTCTCAGTGTAGCGGCGCTACGGGTTCACCCCGGAGGGATTCAATCTGGCTCAGTCGGGGCCGTGCAGCTAGAGCAGACCTCGTATCCTCTCTTCTCTTCGTCTCCCCTGCTTCACCAATGCCAGGTCATGATAGGAGACATTGACCGCGCAGCCCGCTCCCACCGCGCTTTCTTCTCTGTGTGGCGGCGCTTCGGCTTCACCCCAGAGGGATTCAACCTGGCGCAGTTGGCCATGCAGCCAGAGCAGACCTCGTATCCTCTCTTCTCTTCGTCTCCCCTGCTTCACCAATGCCAGGTCATGATAGGAGACATTGACCGCGCAGCCCGCTCCCACCGCGCTTTCTTCTCTGTGTGGCGGCGCTTCGGCTTCACCCCAGAGGGATTCAACCTGGCGCAGTTGGCCATGCAGCCAGAGCAGACCTCGTATCCTCTCTTCTCTTCGTCTCCCCTGCTTCACCAATGCCAGGTCATGATAGGAGACATTGACCGCGCAGCCCGCTCCCACCGCGCTTTCTTCTCTGTGTGGCGGCGCTTCGGCTTCACCCCAGAGGGATTCAACCTGGCGCAGTTGGCCATGCAGCCAGAGCAGACCTCGTATCCTCTCTTCTCTTCGTCTCCCCTGCTTCACCAATGCCAGGTCATGATAGGAGACATTGACCGCGCAGCCCGCTCCCACCGCGCTTTCTTCTCTGTGTGGCGGCGCTTCGGCTTCACCCCAGAGGGATTCAACCTGGCGCAGTTGGCCATGCAGCCAGAGCAGACCTCGTATCCTCTCTTCTCTTCGTCTCCCCTGCTTCACCAATGCCAGGTCATGATAGGAGACATTGACCGCGCAGCCCGCTCCCACCGCGCTTTCTTCTCTGTGTGGCGGCGCTTCGGCTTCACCCCAGAGGGATTCAACCTGGCGCAGTTGGCCATGCAGCCAGAGCAGACCTCGTATCCTCTCTTCTCTTCGTCTCCCCTGCTTCACCAATGCCAGGTCATGATAGGAGACATTGACCGCGCAGCTCGTTCCCACCGCGCTTTCTTCTCTGTGTGGCGGCGCTTCGGATTCACACCGGAGGGATTCAACCTGGCGCAATCAGCCGTGCAGCCGGGGCAGACGTCGTACCCGTTAAGGCCAGAGCTGGCAGAGAGCACGTACTGGCTGTATAAGGCCACGCGCGACCCCTTGTGAGTTCCTGCCCACTCATAGAACCAGCTGACCTCAACCCCGGCTGGTGAAGTCATTCAACCTGGTGCAATCAGCCATGCAGCCGGGGCAGGCCTCGTGCTGTTAAGGCCAGAGCTGGCGGAGAGCACTTTCTGGCTGTATAAGGCCACGCGGGACCCCTTGTGAGTGCCTCTGTGTTCCTCTAGGTGTGATAGGTGTGAGTGACCTCGTACCCTCTGCGCCCTGAGCTGGCGGAGAGTACTTACTGGCTGTGTAAGGCGACAAGGGACCCCTTGTGAGTGTCTTCACATGCACCTCCTGCTGGTGCACTATGCTCATGCAAGCAGCTGAACATACCCTCGTACCACCACACTCAGACCTCGTACAATCTGCAATCAGAGCTGGCAGAGAGCACGTACTGGCTGTATAAGGCCACGCGGGACCCCTTGTGAGTGTCTCTACGTGCACATGCATGCATGCCTGAGCCATGGTGCTGTGTAGGTGTGTGTGTTGAGGCTAGAACTGGCAGAGAGCACGTACTGGCTTTACAAGGCCACCGGGGACCCCTTGTGGGTGCCTCTATGGCTCCTAACAACACGGCCCCTCACATCAAACTCTTTGGCCATTTGAAAAGTGTGATTGCCGGCGTAACGTAATGCATACTCTCTTTTTTTTTTTCCAAAATATATGATTGATTTATCCCTTCTGCCACTCTTTGCCTGCCTCCACTGCTGTTCTGCAGCTGTTTGTTGATTGGTTGTTGTTATCAGCCTGACGCTTGCAAGCACTTGTGTGATCTTAATTATGAAGACTCAAACATCAACAATATGAAGAATAAATGCGTAGTACTTCCTGCCATTTTTTCCCTGCCCCTCACTGCAGCTATCTGGCCGTTGGGAGGGACATGGTTGCCAGCCTGGCGCTGACGCGCTGCCGATGTGGCTACTGCCACGTCAGCGACGTCGAGACGCATGCCCTGGACGACCACATGGAGAGCTTCTTCCTCTCGGAAACAGTGAGCTTCCTACCCTGAACCCCAACATCCAACCCTAAACCCTGAACACGAGTCCTGTCATGTCGAAATGCATGCTCTGGACGACCACGTGGAGAGATTCTTCCTCTCCGAAACAGTGAGCTTCTTACCCTGAACCGAAACGTGGAAACCTGAACCCAGGCCGTACAAACAACCTGATCTTCAGCCCTGTCAGGTAGAGACGCATGCCCTGGACGACCACATGGAGAGCTTCTTCCTCTCGGAAACAGTGAGCTTTCTATCCTGAACCCCAACATCCAACCCTAAACCCTGAACACGAGTCCTGTCATGTCGAGGCACATGTCCTGGATGACCACATCGAGAGCTTCTTCCTTTCTGAAACAGTGAGCGTTACTCCCTGTTGGAAATGCATGATGGTGTGTTGCGATGAGCACGGAGGGACCCGGCTGGGTTGACATTGGACGACCACATGGAGAGCTTCTTCCTCTCCGAAACAGTGAGCTTCCTACCTGACTGAAATCCAAACCCCAAACCCAGACCCCGACCACGTGGGTTGAGAGACACGTGCTACTGGACTACCAGTGAGCTCCAGGTTGGGAGACCTTCCTCTCAGAAGCAGTGAGCCGTTCACCCCAAACTCACCCCAAACCCACATCTGAAACCCAAGACAAATCAACCCTGGAACTGCAAAGATTAAACTGGTGCTTCAGGTCGACCACCACACATGTGCTTTTCTGTGTTCTCAAATACCTTGAGCTCTCCTTGCTATCAGAACCTGAACAAATATATATATATAACACACACACAAACACAACAACAACATTTTGAGTCGGCTCAAGAGCACCTTCATCAGAAACTGTGGTTTTTTGTGTCAATCATTTCACTCACCTCCGATTTCCTTGATCGCCTTTCTTTCTTTGTTGAAGTGCCTCCACCTATCTTTGCTTGCACATGTTATCTTCTGACCTCTTCGTTTTGTTGTTACCCCCTCCCTGCCTCTCTCCCTTTTTTCCTCAGGTGAAGTACCTCTATCTTCTATTTGACTTGGCCTTGGGAGGAGACAACATCATGGACAACGGGCCCTACCAGTGAGTCTCACTCCTCCCTTCCTCGCTCCTCCAATGCTCACTCTCCCTTGCCTCTCTCCTCTATTCGCTCTTCGACTTGGCCCTGGGAGGAGACAACATCATGGACAACGGGCCGTACCAGTGAGTCTAACTTGCCTTGTCAGTGAGTCTTACTCCTCCCATCCTCATTTTCACCGCCCCTTCTTATTCGCCACTGCCTCTCTCAAGTACCTCTATCTGCTCTTCGACTTGGCCCTGGGAGGAGACAACATCATGGACAACGGGCCGTACCAGTGAGTCTAACTTGCCTTGTCAGTGAGTCTTACTCCTCCCATCCTCATTTTCACCGCCCCTTCTTATTCGCCACTGTTTCTCTCAAGTACCTCTATCTGCTCTTCGACTTGGCCCTGGGAGGAGACAACATCATGGACAACAGGCCGTACCAGTGAGTCTAAACTCCTTCCGACCCATCCCTCACTTCTCCCATTTTCACTCACGCTAGTCTGTTACTTGAGACGTCCCATAAACTCATGCACAATGAGAGGCCCATCTCCTCCCTTTGACTCCCAAGGACTCCTTCTCAGAGCCTGCTCCTACCTCAACAGCTGTGCCCCGCCCCAAGCGAAACCTAGATTTCTCCATTGCCTCATACACATTCCCACCCCTCCTTCCGTCTCTCCCCACTGCAGGTATGTGTTGACAACAGAGGGCCATCTCCTTCCTCTGACTCCCGATATCTCCTTCTCCTCAGAGCTCCGCTTCTACCTCAACAGCTTCTGTGCTCCGCCCCAAGCCAGGCTCGCACTCACCCTTTCCTCATACCCATCCCCACCCATCCTGATTCCCTGTTTCCATCCCCCTCCACTCGGTAGGTATGTCTTGACAACAGAGGGTCATCTCCTTCCTCTGACTCCCGAGATCTCTTTCCCTCACAGCACTGCTCCTACCTCAACAGCTTCTGTGCTCCGCCCCAGGCCAGGCTTGCACTCACCCTTTCCCCCATACCCATCCCCACCCATCCTGATTCCCTGTTCCCATCCCCCACCACTCTGTAGGTATGTCTTGACAACAGAGGGTCATCTCCTTCCTCTAACTCCTGAAATCTCCTTCCCTTCAGAACACTGCTCCTACCTCAACAGCTTCTGTGCGCCTCCGCAAGCCAGACTCGCACTCACCCTTTCCCCTTACTCATCCCCACCCATCCTGATTCCCTGTCCCATCCCCTATACCCATCCCACCCCAACCCACCACTCTTTAGGTATGTGTTGACAACAGAGGGTCATCTCCTTCCTTTAACTCCTGAAATTTCCTTCCCCTCAGAGCACTGCTCCTACCTCAACAGCTTCTGTGCGCCTCCCCAGGCCAGCAGCTGCCGGGTTCAAGACGGGGGTTCTGGAGAGGGTGGGGTGGGGGAAGGGGGAAGTGCAGCAGAGGAAGGGAGCGAGTGGGTGGGAGAGGGGGAGGGGGATGGGGAGGGAGAAGGGGAGGGGAAGGCAGGGGAGTGGGAAGAGAGGGGTGGGGAGGAACGGAGTAAGGGAGGGGCTGCAAGAGAGGAGGGAGGCAGCTCTGTTGGTGCTGCTACTGCTGCTGCAGATGCCACAGGCCGTGGTGATAAGGCTGAAGGAATGGAGATGGGAATGAGTGAGGATGGACATAAGAAGCAAGAGGAGATTGATCCAAATGTGGAGGTAGTTGCGAAAGGAAAGACATGGGTACTGACTCGTAATAAAGGGATGGAAAAGACTGATTCTTTGAGCACTCGCTCAGGTTCACCCTCTGTTGCTGATCCTCACTCAAGCAGGAGTGAGAGCAGCAGCAGTGCTGCTGGTACTGGCACCGAGAGTTGCAGTGCTAGTGGCAGCGGTGGTGCTATAGAAGACGATGGTGAGGAGGCGGAGGAGGAGGAGGTGGAGGAGGATGAGGAGGAAGAGGAAGAGGAGGGTGAGGGGGTGAGTGGGGGCCAGGATGGGAGGAGGAAAGGTTTGCATGACGTGTCGGAACAGTTTGATACGTACAGAGATCTACAGGTGTGTGCACACTCATGCACGCACACACACACACACACACACACACACTTTTGCGCGCGCGCGCACATGCATGCACGCAGGCACGCACACACACAGAGGCACGCACGCACGCATGCACTCACTCACTCACTCACATTGAATTGTTCTAGCCTGGTTTTGTTCCTCGGCTGCATTGTTCCCTTTAATAAAAAGTGATTCGCAACGTTACAGGTGACCGATGGGCAGAGAAAAACTTTCTTGAATGGAACTCCCATTTGAGGGATGCATCAACCCTAAACACCATGCGCGCGGTTTTTAGGGCTGAACATCCCATCTTTGCATGCCTTCTCCCATGGGTTTTAGTTTTTATTGCCCCGGGCAGCAGTCTTCCTGGGCGGAGTCAGTTGTCCACTGATGTGTATTATCCTTTATGGTGTTTATGGAGTAACCGTTTCCTTTTTTGCAAATTGACCTTTTGACCTCTTGCAGGGATTTTGTCAAGGTATTTCTATATGGAGAAGATTGGGGATTCCAGGGCTCTAAGGGCGTGTTCCTGCGGCCCCTTATCAGGCTAAATAGAGCCCATGAATTCCCAAACCCTCAAATTTCAGCGTTAACACTGGTTCAGCATGTTATTCTGTTGAAACTTTAGTGTTTGCGTTTTTTAAACGAGATATCTGTTGCACATCATGGTCGCAAGATTTTGAATATTTTCATTCCAGCTTGCAAGCTTTGATAATGTTTCCTCCTCTCAGGGAACGCACAGCAGAATGACGAGTGAACTAGGTAGTATGCGATACCGTACAAGTAGGAACCTGACTGTAGCCTAAACCCAATTACCGTATTCCCCCGGATATACCACCCTAGGGTGCTATGATAACTACACAAAAAAAAGGGGGGTCTTTACATAATGTTTTTTTTATAGCGTAAAAGGTTTAGAACTAAATGTACATGTTTGCCGTGGTGGTAGATTGTTGGTTGGGTGCGCAAAACCGAGGACTGGGCGATAACGTTAGTCTCGAAAATTAGCTGCCACATTGCAAGCTCCAACAAGGCCCACTGTCAGGCCCTGATTGGTAGAAAACATTCATGCAGTCACAAAGGCGGAGCGCCCGCAACAGCCTCAGCTGCCTCGCTGGGGCGGTCACGTCCTTGTACTGAGGGCGCATTCCTTGTGCTGATGTTAACATGTAGATGGTTAATGACTGGAAACCCTATGCTATGTAGGCAATAACTGCAATATTACCCGTACATAACTGTCAAATGTTGTAGCCTATAGTGAGGTTTGTCTTAGGGGGTACAAAACTTAGGGTTAGCTATATGTACCCCAACCAACATCAATGCACCATCCATTCTTTATTCTGACATGGTATCAGAGCAGGAGCGACAGCAGCAGGAGCAGCAGCAGCCGCAGCAGCAGCAGCAGCCGCAGCAGCCGCAGCAGCAGCAGCTGCCGTCTCCTCCTCCTGTCTCGGGTCTTCGGACCCTTGGTCTCCCCTCTCCCTCTCCTTCCTCCTCCCCCTCTCCTCCCGTCTCTGGTCCTCCGCTTCCTCCTCCTGACCCCTCTCCCGCTGTTTTCCCTCGTTCTCAGTCTTCGTTGTCCCCTCCTCCTTCTCAGACTTGGGCCTCTCGTCGCTCCCCTCGTGCTCGTCCCTCGTCTCCTGTTCCCTTCACTGACCTTCGTACTGCCTTACTTCGTTCTAGTCCACCTCATCCGTCTCCGTCTGTGCTTCCTGTTAGAATCTACAGGCAGGAATGATGTGCATTGAATGAAACAGTTGGTACAAGTAGCAAACCCTAGTTGGGGTTGTACCCCATATTGACTACCCCACTACAGCCTACCAACATTTAACACACCCCCATAGGCAAAGTGGGGGAGAACAAAGGGTCACAAGACCAGTCCAGCAAAGCAACGCAAGCCAAGGGTGGATCACAACGTCACCACACTCCGAGCACAAGCAAAGGCCACAAGGCCAGTTCACATGCAGTGCTAGATATAGTACAAGACAAGCAACACAGTGATCAAAACCTAGCAAGCAAGCAACAAGATATATATAAAGTACAGTACAAAGAAAGTCAAGCAGTAAGCAAATGAGGGAATGTGGACACAAGGCCTAAAGAAGTACAGTGTCGCTGATGATCACTAGGCGGGAGCGCCTTGGTGAAGATATCAGCAGTGTTGGCCTTCGAGTCCACGTACACAAGCCGAAGCTGACCGCGCTGCTGAAGCTCTCGAGCAAGAAAGTAGCGAAGAGCAATGTGCTTCGTCCTGTGCTCCAGTCTGTGCTCCTGACACAAGGCAAGGGCCGCCTTGTTGTCACCGTACAGAACTGGAGGAGAACTAGGCCGCTCTCCCAAGTCAGTCAGCAGGTAGGTGAGCCAGCGTAACTCCTGTGCAGCCATGGCCGTGGCGTAGATCTCAGCCTCACAACTAGAGCCGAGAACAGAAGAAGAGCGGGTGGACCGCCACGAGACAGAACCAGAGCCAAGGCTGAAGGTGTAACCCTGTGACGACCGCTGCGTAGCCAGGTCGTCCACCCAAGAAGCGTCCGAGTGACCAGTGAGGACAACTCTGTCGCGTCCTCCAAGCACCAGCCCCATGCCTGACGTACTGCACAAGTAACGCAGCACCCTCTTAGCAGCCTCCCAGTGCTCTCGCCTGTGTCTCCCAGGCGCAACGTAACGAGCAAGGATGCTAAGAGGGTACGCGAGGTCAGGTCGCGTGCAAGTCATCAGGTACATGAGGCAGCCTACAAGCTCTGGGTACGGGCCACTCGGCTCTACGGACTCGTCCGAAGGTGGAGCTGAGAGCGAGTGGCTGGTAGCCAGAGGTGTGGCCTGTGGTGAGGAGAACTGGAAGCCGAAGCGCTGAAGGACCTACTGCACCATGTGTGACTGAGTCAGGGTAATGGTGCGGCGTGCTCTGTCCCGGGTGATCTGCAAGCCAAGGTAGCTACGCAGCTCACCCAGGTCAGTGCAGGTGTGTCTCTTCTGCAGCTCCGACTTCACACGAGCGAGTGCCTCAGTGTCAGCAGTAGCAAAAACCAAGTCGTCGACGTACACGAGAATGTAGAACGGCGGCAGCGACGTGTCTGTGCGCAGGAACAGCGACGGGTCAGCAGTAGACGGCGCGAACCTAAGAGCCGCAAGTGTAGTCCTCAGTGTGTCGTGCCACTCACGTGGCGCCTGGCGGAGACCGTAGACTGGCCGACGGAGGCTCCACTGGGTACCAGGAGGAAACGACCCAGTAAAGCCAGGTGGGCGGCGCAGCCAGATCTCCTCGTGCAGGCTGCCCTGCAAGAACGCTGTGCTGAAGTCAAGAGAGTGAAGCTCGTAGTCACGCTGAGCAGCAACGTGCAGTAGAACCCGAAGAGTGGTCATCTTCGGGGTGGGAGAGAAGGTCTGGAAGAAGTCAACCCCCTGACGCTGACTGAAGCCTCTAGCAACGTAACGAGCCTTGAAGACAGGCGGAGAACCTGGCGGCCGCTTCACCCTGAAAATCCACATGCCATCGACGATGTTCGCCCCAGGAGGGGGAACCTCGTCGACGTAGGTGCCTGTGGACTTCCAGGATGCCATCTCTGCGTCCATGGCTGTCTGCCACTGAGAGGAGTAGGGACCCGAGATCGCCTCTGCGTAAGTGCGCGGAGTGGGGATGTCTAGTGCATCCGGGTCTCCCTCAGGGGCAAGCAACCAGGCCACGAGATGAGGTACAGCAGCCGCAAGAGAGTCAAAGTCCTCCTGCCTGTCCTCAAGGACGTCCGTGCCAAGAGCACACTCACCCCCGACGGACGGAGGACAGACAGACTCAGACTCAGTAACAAGACTGGCAGTGAAGTCTAGACGACAGGCAGCAGCAAAGTCAACAAGCTCAGCGACAAGAGCAGACGCAGCAGCAGACTCAAACGACGGGTCAGTGACAACTGTAGCGAGGAGACGCATGACAGTAGGGTGCTCAGCACGAAACCGGTCAGACGCCGGGTCCGGAACGTCAGGCAAAGAGGACGCAGGAGGAGACGGCAGAGGAACAGGCTGCGGAACAGAGGAAGGACGACGGACTACGAGGTGTGCACTGGGGACAGCCGGTGGACGCGAACGAGGAACACGACGACCAGGACGAGCAGGCGAGACAGGACGCGATGCAGGCTCACGACGCTCAGCAGGACTACCAGTCAGCTCCGTGTAAGGAGAAGGAGCAGGCAGCGGCGAGCCAGACTGTAACGGAAGACCAGTAGACGACGGAAGAGTAAGAACCTGACGAAGAACAGAGGCAGACGGCGGTAGAGACGACGGAGACGGCGGAGCGAAGAACAGTCGTGTCGGCGCAGCTGCACCAGTACCAGCAGCTCCAGCAGCTCCAGTGCCTCCAGCAGCTCCAGAAGCTCCAGGCCCAGAGCCGACACCTCGAGTCCCAGGGTCTCCAACCCCTGCGTCTCCAGCAGCAGCACCCCCAGAACCAGCACCTCCAGTCCCAGGGTCTCCAACCTCAGGGTCTCCAGCAGCAGCACCCCCAGAACCAGCACCTCCAGCTCCAGGGTCTCCAACCTCAGTGTCTCCAGCAGCAGCACCCCCAGAGCCAGCACCTCCAGTCCCAGGGTCTCCAGCCTCAGTGTCTCCAGCACGACTCCGAGCTCCAGCAGCGCGACGCTGACGGCGACCGTACCAGTCCTGCAGCTGCTGTGGGGTGAGAGGCACACGGGGACGAAGGCGGCCACTCCAAGGAGACCGCGCAACAGCAGACTCAGAACCCTCAGCGCCCGCACCCCCAACGGCTCCAGAACCTCCGGTGGCAGTACCCTCAGCACCAGCACCCCCAGGGGCTCCAGAACCTCCAGCGCGAGCACCGTCAACAGCTCCAGAACCTCCAGCTCCAGCGCCACCAGGACTAGGCCCTCCAGCAGCTCCTGAACCTCCAGCGCCAGCACCCACAGTAGCTCCCGAACCTCCAGCGTCAGTACCGCCAAGCTCAGCACCCCCAGACCCCTCACACTCAGGCTCAGCACCACCAGGCTCTACACCCTCAAGCTCCGCACCCGCAGGCTCAGTACCCCCAGGCTCAGCACCCCCAGGCTCCGCACCCCCAGGCTCAGCACCGTGAGCAGGACCACTCGCAGTAGGACCTGAGTCACCAGTGACCTCAACCGGCGCAGTAAAGGGAGGAGGGTCTACCTGAGAAACACCTGAAGGAGCAGGACCGGGAGCGGGGAGGGGGTCTACCTGGGGAGCACCTGGAGCGAGGAAGAGCGGCGGGGGGGGGAGCGAGGCAGTGCGGTAGGGGAAGAGACGGTAAAAGGGAACCGACTCGTCGAACGTGACGTCCTGAGACGCAAAGACACGGCGCGAGGTGGGGTGGTAAAACTGCCAACCAGGCGCGTCAGGGACAAAGCCAAGGAAGACACAGGGAACAGCGCGGGCGGAGAGCTTGTCCGCGGTGGTATCGCGGACAAAGGCACGAGCACCCCAGACCCGGAAACGCGACGCATCGCCAACCTTCCCCGTCCACAGCAGTGTGGGCGAGGTCTCCGGCAAGGAGACACGGGGCCAGAGGTTGAGCTGATGCGCGGCGTACCGGACCGCAAACGGCCACAGAAAATGGGGGGCAGCCGCATGGATCATGGAGGTACGGGCGACCTCCATGACTAAGCCAATGCG